TGTTTTGCGACCTGAGTAACTGGGAATTTTGCAAGCGAGTTTCTGCCTATGGGGTACATTTTGGTACTCGTAGCGGGTGAGAGTCCTGCTGGCTCAAACCCATTGCATGTACAGCTGGGACATTCCTGCCAAGACTGACCAATGGCTTTCCGCCGACCCGTCGCATCAGACCATGTTCGATTCCCGAGTCCTGCGTCTCCGTTTGTTACTTCGCTTTGAATTGCTTCTTCGGGGTTCCCGTATGTTACTATACATGAGTTGCACAGGTCTGTCAGTTAGTTTTGGCCGGGACTCTCCGCCGCTTCCATCCACCGAGGCTGCTGCGCTTGCGAGGTGCGGCCGCCGAGGCTCAGGACCCGTCGCGACCGGAGAACATCGGCCAGAAACGACATTGAGCGATGCGTTGGTGAGTTTGTTTTGGGAAGACGAGGAAAGAAGATGTAAGATGTTGTTTTTGTTGATGGTTGATGCACAACGTTTATTCGATGCCGCGTGCCTTTTCTTGTGCAAAGTCAACACCAGTTAAGGATGTTTGGCAAAGGGGTGGACATTTGTTGGAAAGCACCTTCTGGTGACCCGTTCGCATTTGCAGGACGTACTTCTAGACAAGGAAAAGATGAAAGCAGAACTGGATACAGCCAAGAGAGAGCTTGCTCAGGCTGGACGTGCTGGTGAAAGATTCTTTCCCGTCACATTCTTTCAGGGTTCGACCTTTTCAGAGCTTCTGCAGGAAACCGAACCATGAGTTCGATATGAACATATATGAACTGTTTAGAAGCCTCTCTGGCTGGGAGGTTTCTTTCCCGACGACCGTCCATCACCAGAGCGCCTCTGCAGCGGCTCTCGAGCCGTCGATGTGGGCACGACTGGTGAGGCACAGTCCAAAGAACTGACGGTGCGACAAGGAGCCAGCAAGACGGAGGCAGGGAGAGTCTGCTGCGACCAGTGATCTGACATGAATTTCATGATCTCATTCATGGATGGAGATCTCCTTGGAGAGTGATCATTCATGGAGATCATTCATTCCAGTCCTGTGATTAGGTCATCCTAATTAGCTCGGGACCCCATGACCCGGACCCGGTGGTCAGCCGGTGACCCGGACCTGGTGAGGTATGTGATTGGTGGTTTGCCAAGTGCAAGGGCAAGGGTTTGCATGTGTATTTTTTGCTTTGCCTTGAAGAATGGAATAGGTTTGATCTCCTGCAAAATCCTGTAAATGCAGTTGTATTATGTAGAATATATTGACATGAGCGGAATGTATTTTTGATGATTTGCATGCCGAAGACCTCCTAGATCCCGAAGAGTCCAGCCAGAAACCAGCGAAGAACAGAGCCATCGAACGCCAGGCATCATTGAAGGAAGCAGTCCAAAGCAGGCAGTGGTATCGTACATAGGTCTCTTTGGGATGGTTTTTCTCGGCGGTTCACCCACGGAACTGGTAAACATACAAGCCTCCTGCTAGGTTCTTCAACGCGGGACACCATTCTCCTGTTGTGAAATTTGCCTGACCTGAAAAGTCCAAGCAGATTCAATATGGGAGGTGGCTCACAATGAATGGAAGCACACCTAATTTCAGAGTGACACTTGGAGCCAATGAAACACATCCGACTTCATGTCTTATTTGGAGACTTCAGGACTCCGGGTGCGAGTGGGGTCCGAAGACCCATAGACTGGGCGGTTGACACGAAGACAGTTAAGCCTACTCCACTTGTTGTGGTTTGGGGCGTTGCAAGGTTTAAACATGTTTAAACTGTTATTGTAAACATTTGTTTGCTGACTCCAAAGTACTCCAAGGCTCCAAAGACTCAGGTTTAGAACGGGTGGGTCCAGCGACCCTTCAGCAAGTGATCGCCGGTTGTGGGCACCAAATGGTTGAATGAAACGCGAGAGCAGAGTGGTTGCAAGTGTCAGGCTGGACTTGCAGCAAGAGCTGGAGAAGTTGAAGGTGTGGAAGGGAGCGAATCTGCAATGATTTGTTTCAGGGAGGGGCGTGTGGATGTCGTCAGACTAGTGGGAAATCCACCGCTCACAACAGGCCTTTCCGTTATTTTAACTTGCCCAGTTATACGCCCTCAGACAATCCTGGTTGTTGGCATCATAGAGGTCCCAGGAATTTGGGAAGATCATTCTCCTTCATAAAAGCATTTGTTGCGCTTCCATGCTTGTTTCATATAATATGATAGATGTGCACACACACACACTTATGATTATGCGTACTGAACTGAAAGCGGTTTGCCACACGCCGGCCTAGGTAACCATTTCCTAAGAGTACAAGTAAGAACCACCCGAGCCTAAAGGTCTTCAAAAGGAGAGAGGTCCAAAAGCTCAAGTCGAGATCGAAACGACGGGATGACGACGGCCGCTCAGGTCTGCAGAATGCATTAGCCCTTTACGGAGAATTGGAGTGACAGCTTGTTCAAAAGTTCAAAAGAGCAGGTACGTGCAGCTGATCAGGCTGCATATCCTGAGGTCACCATAGAGAGCTTCGTTGGGCACAGCTCTATGGGCCTCCTGGCCTCCTGTGCCTGCTAACAACTGAAACGAAAATCCAATCCGAAAGGAACCTCGTGACTCCAGAGGGTCCACACACACGCCCCCCCCCGAGGGGAGGCGAGAAGCGCTAAGGTCAGGGCAAAGTGTAAGTGTGCACGCAACAAGACAAAAGAATGAAGTCATGAAAAGGGGACCAGACGGGACAAAGGTGTGTGCGGTTGCGATGAAAGGGAACCAAGTGCACAGGGACAACCAATGAAAACCCACCTCATTGTAAAGACCTGGGCGGCCTGAAACCTAGGTTGAAGTAGGTGGTGCACATGCACACTAAGGCCGGGACCCATGTGCGTGCAAACGAAAGAAAGGATGAGATGACCAGACATGAAGACAGGAGGACATGAAAGAAAAGAAGAAAGCAGAAGTGTGTGAAGGGGGAAAAGGATGAAAAGGGGAACCAAATGGAGGGGACGAGAACCGATCAAGCCACACCTCATTAAAGAACCTATGCCATGCAAACCTCGTTGAAAATGTACGTGCTGCGTGTGCACCTGAGATGGCGGCGGGCCCCGAGGGACCCGTAAAGGCATGAGCCAGCTTGGAGTTCAATAGTTCAGCAAATCTTGGCAAATAACTTTGGCCTGAGCCTACTTTGTCCGCTGCGGACTACTCTGGTCCCGGGCGCACGGACGAAGAAAAAAACCGTTCAACGGGTCCACAGGGGCCACTCTGCGGGGTCACCCTGGGCTGGCATGAAGCCAGACACACTTATGATTATGCGTGCTGAACTGAAAGCGGGCTGCCACACGCTGGCCTAGGTAACCATTTCCTAAGAGTACAAGTAAGAACCACCGGAGCCTAAAGGTCTTCAAAAGGAGAGAGGTCCAAAAGCTCAAGTCGAGATCGAAACGACAGGATGACGACGGCCGCTCAGGTCTGCAGAATGCATTTGCCCTTTACGGAAAATTGCAGTGACAGCTTGTTCAAAAGTTCAAAAGAGCAGGTACGTGCAGCTGATCAGGCTGCATATCCTGAGGTCACCATAGAGAGCTTCGTTGGGCACAGCTCTATGGGCCTCCTGGCCTCCTGTGCCTGCTAACAACCGAAACGAAAATCCAATTCGAAAGGAACCTCGTGACTCCAGAGGGTACACACACACACACGCACACACATATATATATACATACACACCACATATGCATATTTGAATATAGAGACAGGTCTCCGAAGCATCCTCCGCGCGGTGTTCGCGTGCCTCACTGCCCTTCTCAGGCGGTGAGCTCCAGCGAGGCCTCGGAGCGCAAGACCCTGGAGGCCCAGATCGCCAGCCTCGAGGCGCGGGGGGGCGACTTGGAGCGAAGGTCGCCGGTGGCGGGCGAAGGTCGCGCTGAGTGGATAGAGATAGTTCCTCCGGAGGTGAAGCGGTACAGAAAGTGGTTTGGGGCACAAAGGCTGGACATTTGGAGTTCCCCAGCCTCCAGCTTGAGAGGCTTGGGACATGGGCAGGTCCATCAAAACCGTTTGCAGTCCATCAGAGGTGCTTCTAGACATGTTTCCACAAGGTGCACATGTCATTGTTTTTTGGCTGCCCGTCCAACCCAGAACAGCATGAACTAACCCCTCCTCAACCCACCTGACTGTGCTAAATATAAATTTGTTTAAAGTTTTGAAAGCCTCCATGAACCACGCAGGCACAGCTAAAAAATGTGAAGAGCGAAGATGGAGCAGCCCAAGCCTTACGTCAGCAAGTCACAAAGCTTGAGGAGGACCTTTTCTTCGCTCCGGTGGCGGGATGTGAGCACCAGGTGGCTGACATTAGCCTCACTCTTTTTGACCGTTTGGAGAAGACCCGATGTTCATTGGATGCCCCTGGTATCCTCAGGGGTACTGGATTTATATTCCAGAGTACGCCAGCGTTTAAGTTATCTTAAAGGTACGTTTTGACTAAAATGCACTCCGGGTTAGACAAACTCACTGTAGCACCTAAGTGGCCTCGTCCGTGGATGACGGCGTATGGCGGCACGCTCAGCAGGGTTGGAAAATACTGCAGGCTATTCCCCAGAGTATACTGCTGCTGTTGAACTGCGCTGTTCCAAGGGAAACATTTTTTTGGTTTTGTGTGTGTGCGTGTGTGTTTTCAAGCCCTTGTCCACTAAAGCCACATGCTCTATGTGAGTCAATGTAGTCTCCTGTGAAATATATGCAATCAGGTGTGTTTATAACTCACATTGACCCATGGAACTTGCAGCGCATCATGTTTTGCCCAACCATCAATCCATTGGACCATGCACCACCGTTCAGCCTGAATAGGAGTTGGCTCAGCTGCGAGCAAAGCACTTGCAGGCAGACCTCACGTATGAGGGGCTCCTCCATGGTTTAGAGTTTTGTGAATCCTTCATCTCAGAGACGGTCCAGTTGAAGAAAACGACACCAGATGAAACCAGCAATTCGATTGACCAATTCTCGACCAGTTCAAATACTCGACAAAGACCCAGTCCGATTGACCGGTTGACCCAGTCAAGAGTGAATCCTTTGTGCACGGTCGTGGATTGCACTAAGGGTGCCCATAATATGCATTTGTCATTTTGTAGATTCAAATCACACTATGAAACAACATCTAACAACTATATAACAAATAAAAAGGAACACATACGCCTGCTTCCCCTTCTTTGTTTCCCATGTCCTTGGCTTCCGACGTGGCGTTTCTTGTGGCGCTTTCCACAGGCGGCCAGCGACCAGGCTGCCAAGATTAGCGCTTCGGAGGCCAAAGCCTTGGACGCCGACGCTCGGTGCATTGCGCCGTTGCAGGTTGAGCATGGCCATATATGGGAATAACAGGAAACCATGTGAAACCATGTGACACCCAATTGGTGACAAATTTGGTAACAAATGAAAGAAGTAGGAGTAGTGTAGACATGACATTGGGAACCCATGCAACAATCATGCAGACAATTGGTGACAAGTGTGGTAGCATGACTTTGGACAACATGATTGTTGCATGGACTACCAAACTGTCACCATTATTCACCAAATGGTCATGGTTCCAGTCATGACAACCCAGGTCTGGACAACATGATGAGAAACGTTTGGAACGGACTTTGTTTGTCTCCGTTCAACTGTGGCCCGGGTGGTGCATCGTTTCAGCCGCATCAGCGCCTTCACTTGAGTTCGTGATTGTCCAAGTCCCAACTGGCTGCAATTGCTGGCTTCATGTTGTTTTTCTCGTCTCGGGACAGTGCAAATCCTCACACACTGAGAACACCCAGAAAAAGAGAAACAATACCAGAGGGGTCATATGTTCCCCAGCGTTGTTGAGGTGTTTTAATCAGCCAGGGTCCTGGTCTGTTGACTCACACACCTTACATCCGGTGGTGTAACTTCATTCATGAAAGAGTAGACCAGTATCTTCGGAGAGCATCAGGACATATCTAGATGTGGCCCAAACATTCCAAGGAACAGTGGTAAGTAGGATTAAGTAGGGATGGTGGGATTGTCCCTGAGTTCTTTTGCGGAACATGTTGTTTAAGACTATAGAACCATCTCCCTTCTCCACATGTCCCTCAGGAACGCACGCGAATCACCTTGGAGCGACTTGGAGATGATCAGACTGCCGCGATGTTTTGCTGTTGCATGAGACATTGAAATCGAAACTGCCGATTCAAATGCACTGAAGCGAACAAATCCCTGGTTCCATGCTAATGTCTTAAGAGGCTGACCTCAGAGCTCCAATTCATCAGGCAGCCTAGAGTGGGGCATACGAGGCTACGGGTGGATTGCCGGAGTTTATATACTTGTTTGATCTCCTATGCAGCATGGGAAACACATGCGAACACAAACCATGCTTTGGAACGAGTTGGATCCTGGCATCCGAACTAAAATTGGCGTGCCTGGCGCCGGACCTGACAACCCCAAGCAGAACAAATAGAACAAACAGAGAAAAACACGGCAACAGCAACAATGGCAAGTATTGTTGCCGCCACCAGCACCACCACACCAGTCATACCTTCAAGAAATATGTTGGTCCACTATGCCATGTAGGCAAAGTCCTTCCAAAAGGCACCAACTGAATGACAGAAGGTGTGGTTCTTTGCGCCGATCTTTTCGGCCATGGGCATCGCTGCAGGCAGCAGATCTCCTCCACCACCGCTGAGTTGTCAAGCGTCTCCAAGCGACTGAAGGAGCCTTTGAAGATGCAGAAGGTTTGATAGAAAAGGCATGAAAAGGATCTTTGCTGTTGGAAAGGGGTCATAGAAAAGGCATGAAGGCATGCAGAAGGTGTGATTGATTCTGAACATGTATCAAACATGCAATTTTTGAATAACAATTTCATGGTTCGACACTGTATGAACCATACCGTATCTCCATGAGTGGCCGAGGTAGCATAGACGCCTGGGTGGAAAATGGAACGATTTGCCAACACAACAAGTCATGCTTTGGGACTGCTTTGATGGTTAGGTTGGTGAAGGGCTCTTGTGGGGGTACAGGTAGTCTTGTTAAACCACATTTGTCATATATACCATCACTCAATCAACATGGAAAGAGCGTGTAGCACCTCCCCAAAGCACAACCTGCAAATATCGGGGGGAACTACATGTATAACATTGTATAACATCATGCAACATGGACAGAGTGCGCAGGCATCTCAACATTCTCACCGCAACAAGTGTGCTTCTCCCCCACTTCGGCCGCTTTGTCGCACAGCCCGTTCGGCTTCCACGGCGGTGACGAACTCAGGAGGCACAGCTGGCGGAGTCGGAGTTGTTGATGACGAAGACGCGCTTAGCAGATGCCGAGCCACTCGATCCGATCACGCAGAGGTCCTGGGGTCCAGGCAATCCTGGGGGTGATGCGGTATCTCCCAGAGATCGCCATGTGTGAAAACTACTCTTTTGTTTTTTTAAAATGAGGGAGCTTCAAGAGGCTTTAAGTATTAGTGGAGTTTCCATGAACCTCATATGGTTCCATGCTTCCAAAGTGACATTTTCACTTGGGTATGTGGTGTGTTTGGGCTTGTGCTCGTTTGGAGCCGCGAGTTTAGGGTGAATGTTCAATCCCTTTGAAGGTCTATATATATATATATATGCTATTGTTTAGGTGCAACACACACACACTCGCCGACAAAGGAAATCGATGATGCACATTCTGATGTGCTGTTGTGTGCAATCAATGTGGCCATCCCGAAGTTGACATCCTGAAGTTGATCGTTTGCACAAGTTCTAATACCAAGCAAAGAGCACTACCACCATTTCACAAAAGCCCAAGGAGCCCTCCCAGATCCAACTCCTTTGGGTCTGTGCCACACTGCACACAGCTCACCCACACATCGGAAGGTGCATCATTTGGGGGGCTGCTATTCAATGAGGGAATCACACGTATCCAAAAATGATGGTTGAAAAACAACTAGCCACATGGGTATGGTGCATCACTTTTTACTTGCGCGCATTTCCAGGAACGCCACTTTGGGTACAACGCCAACTAAAGATTGTTTCTGAACAGATTCGAGGCATTTTCTTGAGGCCCCATCGAATAAATAAGAAGGCACCGAAAGCGACAGAGACAAATTACAAAATTACTCAAATCTTTGGGATCTCAATAACCATGCAGAACCCTTCAGGGTCCTAAACAGCTTTGGATTCTATTTCAGTTAGCAGCGCTACAGAAGTCCACAAAGTGCTACATCCTATGTGTTTGCAACAAGTGCTGCAGACAGGGATGAAGATTCAATATTGCTTTGGGGAACTTGACGGCTTTTTGTGTTTCATTGAGCTGTCAAGGTCTTCAGAAGGGCGTTCCAATCACCCATTGTGTTGCCATGGGGGTTCTTCTATTCTATTCTATTAGGAAAGGCAGAAGACATCCCACTAAAGAATGGCACATCGACCCAACCTGTTGGAGTTGTGTCATTCTTCGTCGCCACATGGCTGTGGGGGGTCACAAATCCAAGTGCAACTCAGGTTAGGTGCCACCAGTCAGCTGGGGTTGCATCGCTTTAATTCCTTCAGTGCCTGTTTTGATGCCTAGGACTCAGCTCTCACGTGCACATCAAGAGATGGCCAAGAGAGAAGGTGTGCACATCACATTCCGCGGGGTACAGTCTTCCGTTTTGATGAAGCCGAAATCCATGGGGGGCACCCGGATGAAGAGGTCACAATGTGGCATGGACTCTGCTGGCATGGTTTTTGGATGTTTTTGGCCTAAGCGGAAGGCAACTGCGACTTGTTGCCCACTTCCATGTTAGTGAATCGGAGGGCACTAGATGAGATCCCTTGACTTTCATGACGAAGTAGGTGGACTATAGGAGGGACAACTGCCAACCTGCCATGAGTTTCCAGCTTGTGGCTTTTCCCATGTTCTTTTGTTTCTGCAGTGTCGAGTCGTTTGGCATGTTTGTGCGCACCCTTATATGAAGGCCCACCAACAAAGCAGAATGATTCAATTCTGGATAGTCTACCTGTGAATGTCCATCCGTCATCCCACTTGGCCAGGCGACGTGGCCACACAGCGAGCAGCCGCGCAAGCTTCGGCGCTGGAGTTGGCGGCACGTGGCCTGGAAGATCTTTGGTGTTTGTTTTGCAGCGACAGTGTTTATGATTTTCCCATCAGATGTCATCATATTTTCCCCAAATGCACGAAAAACTGATTCCGAAAGCGGAGTGAAGCGGATGACTTCCATCTTCGCGCGTCTCCAATCTGCGGAGCTGCCGAAACCCGGGTCTGAGGAACCTCGATGAAATGACGCATTTGTGGGAGCGATCGGAGGGGGGGGTGCGGAGGAGCGCTGAAGCCAAGTTTGATTCCTCAGAAGCCTGCTGGATGGTGCTTTCAGGATCTAAAATTACTCCCGGTGCCGGTATTAGTTCGTGAAGACTCGCAACATCTCACAACCTTTGTTTCTTCTATGTTCAGTGTTTTGGGCTTAATCTTTACAAGCGGGCATCTTTAATCTTTAGACTAGCTACCCCCCAAACCTGCGCAGAGCTTTTGTTATCCACTGTGAGTTGTCAGAATCAATCGTGTCCATCCCTATGGGGGTTCTCTGCACGGGTCCTCTAACCACCCTAGTTGTCGAGCGTTTCTTCACGAGGCGATCGGCTACTTCAGCAGCTTCGCGACGACCTCGCCGGCCCTTCGGTCTTTCGCTTGTGCGGTTGCGCGGCCGCGCCTGCCTGTGCGTTCCGGGGGGCTGAGGCGGCGTGGAGAGGTGATAAGAATTGATCAGATATGAAGGCAATTCATGGCAATTCCATATAATTTTTCCCATCGTCCGCCCTTTTTTTTCCGGATTTTGCCAACGTATACCTTGCTGAAAGCCTTAGAAGTATTATATAAATTTGAACGGGTGTGGAAATCTGACCGTGCTGTACCTGCCAGGAAACATGGACGTGTCAATCCGATCCACTGTAGACCGCAAGTGTCAGGTTGGAACAGAGTAAGAAGCGTCAACTTTAGGGTTCTTGAAGTAATAGTATTACTCTCCTTGAAATCATCATGGTTACGTGGGGGGGCATGGCCGAACTCGTTCGGACCATGAATTCCCAATGCCAAACAGGTAGTTGTCACTTCGATTCCATGATGAGTTCAGGGAAGAAAATCCTGTCCTCATACGTTACCCTCAGGAACTGGGGCCGACAGTCTGGCCTTGGAGAGTTTTTTCTTCATATATGCGTGTGTCTTTGGGCGGTTTTCCCGGATTCCTTGCACTCCAACCCCGCAAGACCCAAGTTCACTTGCTATTCGATTTGAGTTTGGCAATGCAGGCTATAGTCTATAGTCTTGAACCGGATACCGTAGTCCAAGTTTGACATGCTTTCAGGCTGCACCAGATGGTCCCACATGGATCTAAGACTGGCCGGCAAAGGTGGCATTCTAGGTTGCAGGGAAGTCACTTTGCCACCCCTAACTTAGGACATTGAATGATCGGGACGTGATTGAAGTGTGCATCCCACCTGAGGTGATTTTTTACCCTAGCTTTCCTGGAAGGGTTGGAGGCTTGCAACGCTGCCAGAATAGATGCATCCAAACAGTTGGCCATCCAGTTAGTAGGAGACCTTGCAAACCATATGTTGCAAAAGCCTATCAGGTCACTGTTGCGCTAGGCTAGGCTTCAGGCCGTTTGTTTCAGCATGGTCCTGTTCAAGCTGTCACCATTGCAACCTTGCCGCTCAAACAATCCGAGTTTGAGGACATGAAGAGCTCATCAAGCGTTTGAAGCAGGAAAACTTGGAGCTCGAGGCGAACGTCAATGGCGGTGATAGCGGCGAGGTTTGAGATGGTTTGAACGATCCGAGTGTGTATGGGACCCATGTGTTCTTGCTGGGCTTTGGGTGACTCGGATGGAAATTATGGAGACGCTTGAACTACATGATAAACATTGGTATAGTAATTATAGGGGTACATATTAAATAGGTATAGACATGTATATAGACAAATTGGTATATTGACATTCTTTCTTGTGCCATCACATCGATGTTCAGACGAGCTTTGACAGTCCGGACCGAAGCAAACGTCCGACGCCACGGACGTCGAAGCGAACCGTCAGGCCCAGCGATCTGAAATCTCTCGGCTGAAGCGGGAACTCGCGAACCTTCAGGCACGAACCTTCAGGGTGTGAAGCAAAGAGGTGACTATAGCGGTGGAAGGAGTCAGACTTGAGATGACCGGATGTAGGTCACAAGTCTGCAAGACTTGAGCAGATGATTGTAGCAAGACTGTCCTTCCATTGTAGAGATGCGAGGTGTGGAAGATATGCAACAGACTTCGCTATATAACATGGTGATCTTCATGTTCCTTTTCCGCCATCCTTTCCCACCAGAGCCGGGAGCCGCTGACCGTCAGGGTGAGACCGCCTCAGAGGGTGAGACCTTGCGCAGCGAGGTGCGCAACCTCTTGGCCGAGGCGGCCAGACACGACGTGGATCCCGGTGCCATTTCACCACTACAGAATAGTTAGCCTGGGGGCCCCTGGATTCTATAGCAGAAGTGGTTGAATTTTTGCTGCAGAATTTGGTTTCTCTACTATAGAATTTGGTTTCTCTACTATGGAATTTGTAGTATTCTTGCTGCTTTGTTTGATCTGTGGTCTCATCATGTATGAAGCCTAGCTGGATTCATGGGAATTCCTATGTGTTCCGACCTCCATGGTTTGACAAACGGATTGGCTGCCTGCAGGTCAAGGAGAAGGAGCAGATGCAGATCAAGGCCCGTTCATCACCTTGGGGAGAAACTCCTCGGCCGCCCCAAGAGAACTCGGAGACATGTTTCACACGAGCGGATGCACCAACAACCCTCCAATTTGGTTGAGTTTAGTTTCCGCATAATTTCACCATTGACATGTACCTGGAGCCATGGGTTGGAACCACTAGTGACTTCCAAGCACTTGCAGGCTTCAGGTGTCAGTTTGTTGTTCTCAGCTTTGACCACCGGTTTTTGTGGATGACCTCGTGCTTTCTCAGGAGGTTACTTTCAAGATGTCCCTGTTAGATTTATATAGGTGCTTTCCTACCCCTGTTCCAGCCTGACTCTTGAGTGTTTTCTCCAAGAATCTCAAAAATCCGGTGGTGCCTTCCTCTACATGCCGATGTCCTCTACATGTTATTGCTGTGATCAGGCTCACCCTGGCGGATCTATACCGATTTAAATCCTAGTTAAGGCTGAAAAACCGCCACCGGAGCGAACCGCAGGTGGCCGAGCTCACGGCACAGCTCTCCCAGGGTCGCAGCAGCCAGGCGCTGCTGGAGACCAGCACGGCGGATGCCAAGGCGCTTTTCGGAATGCTTTTTGTTCAAATCAACGAAGATAAGCCGTGAAAGCATGGGGAAATATATATAGTTATGGTGTCTTGTAATGTTTCTGATGTGTTTCGGTGTGTTTCTGTTTGCGCGCATTTTCTTTTTGGGTTGGTCACAGTGACTGTGGTCCAAGGGTGCTTTGGGAAATGTGCGTTTAAAGGTGCAGTGTATGGTGTATTGTGAACCTTCTTGATCAACCTCATTCCCATAAAGCCCCAACCATGGGCCTCAGTTGCGAAGAAGGTCAAGTTCGTACCGTCACCGGAAACCCAACGACCGCACAAGAAGGTGCAGCTTAGCCAAAAAGATGTTTGGATATCGCTCCTAGTAGCGATGGCCTCCAACCTACTTGCGATGGCCTCCACCGAATAGTGTCCTTGCTACTAGAAAGGGAGCTTTCATCCCGCTCCGATCGCCGATGTGGATCTCCATCGTCTAGGAGCAGCTGCGTGGAGTGCGTGCGGAGCTCACGGAGCAACGTGCTTTGGCCGCTGAGGCAGCGATGGAGGGCGATGAATGGGCGCATCCGGAACACCTGGGTGATGACGGGTGATGGAAGAAGTGCGAACTGAAGCGAACACGAAGACACAGCAGAGAAGTTGTAGAGAATATAGAGCACGGAGTGTTCCAACTGAAGAGTGGTAGGATATTATAGACATGAAAAGACCAGATTTCTTCAGAAACGGAAGACTCAGCGTTGGCTTCTCGTTTCAGCCCTATTTTTTTGGGGTTTGAGCTACATACTCGGCGCAGTGAAACCGTGGCTCTGTCGCTCTGGAAACGCTCATGCTGGGTTTCGTTTGCGTTGCTTCCAAGACACTGAGACGACTGCCCTTAACTAGCCCTGTCCGATGTGTGCCATGCGTCTCAAGCCGTTCGCTAATGGACTTGGCGGGCTGAATTACACTGGCACCAAGCGAATGCTTCTACAAGCATCTACAAGCCTTTTGCCATCCATTCCGCGGCCGTACTAAACCGAGGGAACACGTCAGACCACTCACAGTCATGGAGTCCGCAATGGCAATAGGAGCAGGATCTCTGCAAGGGACCCTCTCCATGCGAAGCGAACTCTTCACAGCCGCCGCGTTTCTTTCAGCTTGGCCGGCAGAGATCACGGAAAAGCCAAAGGCCAAAGGTAGAAACTGCGGCAGCAGTGTTGGGCCATGGGCGTTTTGGATCCGTCCACAAGGTGAACGGGGAGGTTGCAGTCAAGCACGTGCTTGGTGATATGGTCAATCTCACATCTGAGATCCAAATGCTAGAGCGAGCGCCAATCCTCCAACGGAGGCGTTCCTTTTCCTGGAGCTTTGCGAAGGGGACCTGAACGGGCAGGTATGGCGAGAAGACGCTCTTGCGCCAACGGCCGCCCAGCTACGGGATGCGGTCTGCCACATCCACAACCTACACATCATCCACATGGACATCAAGCCGCTCAACATTTTGATCAAAAGTGGGCAGCCGGTGTTCAGCGACTTCGGGTGCGCCTGCTTGGAGGCAGATGTGGCTGCAGGCCGAGTGCGTCTTTGGTGGCACTCGCCAATGCATGCCAATACCAAGTTAGTTGCTGGTGGGCCCCCGACAGCCTGCATGGATGTGTGGGCTATCGGCATCACATGCTGGGAGCTACTGGCTGGTGCTCGGCGATTGTCGTTGGAAGATCTGCGCGGGCCATTGCCTGGTGTCCTGGAGGGGCGTGGTGGAAACCAATTCGGACAACAATGCTTTCTTGGCAGCGTGACGTGCCTTTGCTTTGACACAGACGTGCGCTTGCTCGCAGCTTTGCCTGGCTGGCTGTTGCCCTGCCAGCAGTGAGGCGTGAAGAGCGTCCATGTGGACATCACGTGCCAGCTGCAAGCTCTGAAAGTGTGAGTCGTGAGGCGATTTGTCGCCCGTGTAGCAAAAGCATGCAAAAGCCAATGCAACCCCCAGCGGTTTAAGGCGTCTCAAGTTGACTTCGATTCCGGAGAACATAGGCTCGCAGAAGGCTGAAGTTGCTGGCTTGAGTTCAACATCTAAATTCTACATGTGATGGTCAACTGATAATTGCTTGAAACTTCAGTTCAACTTTGGGCGCCTTTGGAGAGTTTGGCCTACTGAAGTTCTTCAGCTGATGTTGCAAGGTCGGTTCAAAGTCCGAATTTGCGGAAGAGCGATGAATGTAGAATGTTAACGTTGATTATAAGAGGCTTCACCATCCAAAGTTAATTCTGCATTTACCATCCTAAGTCCAGATTGATCCAGATTGGACTAATTATTCCTGCAGTGTTGGCACCAGTGGAACTCAGTGTTTGTTGCTTTGGTGGGGGGTGTAGCAGAACAGTTTAAAGAACCGCTCACTTTTAGACACGCATGCGCTATAGCAACTAACTCATCAAACCAACCCACCGCATTCCGCAGCACGAAGCACCAGGACGCCCGGCGGCTCCGTTCCGAGCTCTGGGAGGAACGCTCTGCCGCCGCCTCGGCAGCGGTGGTGGCCGCAGGCGAGCTTGGACAGGTGGCGGACAAATTTAAAGGACTTCAGTGAGAACACACGGAGTACTCAGAATATCTCAGGATTTTGGGTGGTTTTGTGTTGTGTTGTTCGTGCTCTTGATGTTTCTTGATATATCCAGCCATATGGCTGTTTAACCTCAGAAAATAATAAGGAACTGACATCCATCCTTGCACCTACCACGTGAATGGCATCAACCAACTCTCAGACCAGGGGAGCTGGCTGCCCTGCGAAGCAGTCGCGGTGGAGACGCCGTAGCAGAGATACCCAGCGCCTCCAGTGGTCGCGAGGCAGATGAGGCTTTACGCCAGCAGGCAGACGTCGCGTTTGGGTGTCGAGAGACGTCCGAAGCCTTTGCCTACAGGTTTCAACAGTGCTTAAAAGTTTTGAGCCAAATCCAGCTACACTAAGTGGCAGCAATTTCGTTTGGTATTTTCCTGCTTTGGTGCGTTGAATTTCGAGGCAACCCGACAGGTAAGGGATTTGGACATGGGTTTCACCACACTACCCAGTTAGTGGATAGCCTTTAACCACTGTTAAATACTGTTTTGAAATTGTTTTTGGAATTGCATTCCCCAAGTCATGCCCCACTAAACAACAGGTGAAAAAGTGATATGTTTCAAAAAGACTTGAAGAGTCACCATATATTCTAATTATAAATTATAATCATGAACGGCCACCAACGCTGACAACACAATACATCAGCTAGTCAATCTGGAAGGAGACTGGTTTCTTGAGCGCGGGCACAGCCAAGTTTAGTTGTTGCATCATAAGTGGAACTAAGTGTGGAACTATTATTCACATCTCAGTTTGTCGTTAGATACTCATGGCGATGATACTTAGCGTAGTTAGTGCGTTTCCAAAGGCAGGCCGGCGCCGCCCATGTTCACCCAAAAGGCAAGTTTCTCTCGAGAGAGTTCACGGAAGCTCACATAGCACTTTGCGGACCCCGTGTTTTCAAGCACCCCAAAACCTACACCTCATGGGTTACGTGATGACCATGCAATCCTGTACAAACCAGTGGTGCCACTTTCATGGTGGTTCCGGTCCAGTGCAGCAGTTCCACTATGTTCCACTTACTGTCTTTGCTCAGCAGTTTCACACTCCTTATCTTCCAAGGTGAATGGTTGGGTAGAGACTTCTTAGTACTTAGGATCTGAAACTAAACACACCCGCTCCAAGGTATGCCTTTTTGCCCCGCGTCTGCCTCCGTTCGACTCGCAGGTCTCCGTCCTCGAGGCAGAGCTGCGCCGCGCGCGCGCCGAGCAGGCAACAGCGTCTGCGACGGTGTCGGCGGAGCGGCAGCAGCTGCGGCAACTGCAAGTGGAGGAGGACCTGGCGTTGCGCCAGGCGCGCGAGGAGGCCCGACAGGCGAGGTGGTGGGATGGAAGACCTGGTGCGAGGAGGGTATGTCAGTGCTGACTTGGAAGTAGTGAGCAACATGGAAGTTTGAGAAGAGAGCCATTTGCCACAGTGACAGTGAGGTGCAATTTTCGATCGCTCTTTTGTCAATGAACTTCAGTTCTGACGGAGGTTGATCTGAGTTGGACACGAGTGGAAACTCAGAAAGCTTCATCCTCATCCGCAGGACCACATTGCTCCAAGCACTTTGCATGTATAACTTTCAGCAGAGACGGGTGGGAGAGGCAGTAGAACATATTCTGAATATGAATATGTGAATATGTGTTTTATTGTTCTTTCAACACCCATTCTTCCCTCACAATGTTTCGTAATTCTGCAAGCCGCAGACGTGTGTGTGGTGAGTTGATGTCCGATGTGTATGTTTTGATATTTTTGTCTATTGTGTATACGCACCATCCAATTCATTGGTGACTAGTGACTAGTGGCATCAAAAGGTTGCTGAGCGACTGTGGTGCCAAGACTGTTTGAACAAGGTATGTTTCTCAAAACCAAGTTGTGTTGTTTTTGTGTTTGTGTTCCTTGTTTGTGTATGGAGATATGGTCGCACTTAAATGGACACAGCTGGGTGATCTGATTTTTGTTTCCTAATGGCTGCTGGCTGCAGGCACGGGAAAAGTTGACCAGTAGCGAGGCCAACATCTCCGCACCTTGCTGTGAGTTCAGAACAGCCACTTGCTCGGGCAAATGCACCTGCTCGGGCAAATGCAAAGCCATCATTTGAGTGGGAGGTACTTAAGCTGTGTGGGCTACAAATTGCAGTGCACCACAAGAATTAGCTTCTTTGCTAACAGAAACATTCTGCCACAAGCACGCTTTCTCAGAAGATCCATCATGATTTGCGTAAATTTATTTAAAGTCATTTGCGCAGATATGATGGATCAATGTTTCTCTTGCAGCTTCCACCAAGCAATCCAAGGAAACCCCTTTGATGGGATCGGTCTCCTTTTGTTCCGCTCACCGGGGGTCCGAGGTCTTCGAGGAGTGGCAACGGCGCCTGGTGGCCGAAGTGGAGGCCGAACGCTCGGAGGGCGACCAGCGGGCGCAGCGCTTGCGCCAGGAGTTGCGGCGCTTGGAGCAGGACAAGGGCGGAGGGTCAGGGTCATGGGATGTGGCTGACCTTTCCAACCAGGGCAAGGGTGCCCGGGTTTTGACCCACATCTATGTAATGGGTCTAGAAAAATCTGGAGAAAAGAGATCAGGGACTGCCAATTTGCTAATACATGCCATGAAGTGCATGGCGTCCTTGACACTAGCAGGAAACCCCAGTTCACAGTCAAGATGTGGGTTTCCAAAGGCTGTTCCCCCCTCAACTAGGCGGACCGTGTATAGTTTTTGAACATGGCCCAAGAATGTTTGGGCTTCCCCAGTCTGGCAGGACCTGGTTCTGACCCTGCCAATGTAAATGATTATAACTCATTGTTCACTGGAATCACCATGGGTGACGAAGCAGCTCAGGCCATTCGATCCAAACTAATAGTTCCAAGACGGCCCTGCCTGGAGCATGTGGATGATTTGAACTCCGGTGGCGGAGGGGTGGCGGGGGTGGCGTGAACATCCATCATGTCCACCAGCCGGTGTAAAATCCCGGGATGCAGGTCTAGGTGCAATGCGTTGGCTGGTTCATTTATTCCGCTGCTCCCAACCACTCAAAGGTTTTCATCAATCTTCCTTTACATTTGGTCTCCACTTCCGGGTGACTTCCTTTACTGTTGACCGCCGTTCCGCCCCACGGCGGGCGCGGCTCGCGAGGACTCAGATGAGGCTTCGGCTCGGCAGCGCGTGGAGATGCGGCGGAAGGATCAGCAGCTGGCCGAGTTGGAGCCGCTTGGAGCCGCAGTCGTTCAGTTCAGCTTACGGGAGATGTGTTCTTTTTCTCGGCAACCATGAGAGGTGACCTGGTAGGAGATTGTGAAGACTTCAGGGGGGACATGAGAATTTGCTCAGGCAGCAAGACGCAAAAAAAAAAGGTGGGCGGACCCGAATGGTGGGCGGTTGTGAAGCAGCTGGTCGCATAGCTGGTCCCCTTGTTCGATTTGAAAGCCAGAGCTGTTGTTGAACACCAGAGATTTGTGACCCGGAACGATGTGGATGCCGCATCTGAGCGGGCAAGAGGTTGAAGATCCAGGAGCCTCAAGAAAAGCATAGAAAAGCTATAGTACCCAAAGGCTAGCCGCCTAGCCCAGTCAGCTCTTGCAGCGCCTGAAACTGCGAGAGACCCCAAACCATCCTCAAACAGTGTTAGATAGAACAAGACAGGTGTGAATAAGCAAACTTCCGCACTCTCGAGCGCACATATTGCACACGCATGAGAGCATGCATTTGTTGTCTATATGAGTTCACGCACACGAGAGGTGCGTATGAGAGAACAGTTATGAGAGAGCAAACAGCGCTCTGAGCACGGAAAACGATGAGGTCGCCATATCATAGTGCTGCTTTTGGCCTCGAAATCTGGACATCGAAAAACAAACCGCTCGTGACTCTAATCTCGGTGCGAAAGGTGACCACCAAGTCCGAAGAGCATGCTCCACACAACGCACGCACAGCGAGTGCGTTTGGGGTGTCCCACCACCTGGACCACCAGGGCGTTCGCGCAAGCAAGCCGAGCCTTTGTGCAGTCGAAACACAAATCGAAGATCCCTGCTGAGGCGTGGATTTCTGCTGCAACTGACAGAAGTCGCCCACGCAGGTGAGCACCATCGATCAAACCCAGAGCTTAACATAGCTGAAAATACTTAACCACTACCGTCAAAAGCCCGCTGTTTGGGGAAAAGATCCTGGTGGTGGTTGCAGGATCCTTTGGAAGAGGTTTGATTCTTCTTGCAACTTGGTGCTAATTTGCTTACAAAGCTTCGATTGGATATGTGCACCCTGCCGATGGAAGTGGAAAAGCATTTGTAAGGGATTGAGTTCGAGGATCGCTTACTGTACCCATGTTTACCATTTACCCAGCCTCAACCCCTTCACCTACGCCGACTCGCAGCGCACGAGGAAAGAGCTGCGGCAGTCGCAGCGACTCCTGGCAGCGAAGGCGGCTCCATGCGACGTGGAGTCCGCGTTCCCACCAAACGGACTCCCGTTCGACGACGGTTGGGGGGAAAACCAACGGAGAAAGAACATGACATGGCCGTCATGGCGACCTGAGAAGACATGACCACCCGTTCTTCCTTTTTGGACATGTGCGCCACCTTCGCCCGCTCTGCCGTTCTGCCCTTCACCGGCGCCAGGAAGCGGAGCTCTCAGACGTTCAACACCTGCACGAGGCATCCGGCGAAGTGTTTTGAATGAATCGATATGAGTCGTTGGATAGAGGGCCAGGAGCCGGACCGACGGGGCTTGGATTTGTACTGGCTGATCATGAACCGATCGATTTGGGTGTTTGGTCAAAAAGTGTGGGATTAGTTGGATTGGTTGAGAAGGGCCCAAGCGTGCAGGCGTAAACTTGCAGAGAACAAACTTGCGAAACTTGCTACAATTTTCTCAGAACTTGTGGTGGTGATGCTCAGATGTTTGCACAGACTCATTGAGTTTCGTAGTTGACAGTCGAGTAGGCTCAAAAACCGCATCCGATATCATGCTTTCGCCGCAAAATGGCAGTCAACTGCCCCGGGGCAGTCACTGTGCTTGCGCACGAAACCAGGCCAGACTTCGACGGGAGGAAACGACACTGACGACGCGGAGTCGCGAATCTGCAGAGTGGGAAGCACAACTGAAGGCGCGAAGATTCGAGTGAAATGAGACTTCTTTTAAGACAAGCAACTCTGAAATTCAACAAGATTGCTAACTACCAGGAGCGATTTGTGGGAATAAGAGATAGTTGGATATGTTCATGGAGCAAAGCCAAGCCGTCGCAACAGCCAGAGAAGACCAATGGAAGCATATCGAAGTAGCCAAAGTTGGTGGTTAAGGAGGCATAGCAGACATAGCATCCATCCAGTGATCTTCTACCCTGACCCAGGTGAAGATGAACCACTTAGACGACACTTCGACGAACACGGGGGGACCTTTGGATGGGATGGGAGCTTTTGGGGAACGGAACTGCATCGAACTGCTTGGCGGGGAAAATCTTCAGAGGGAAGAAGTTCATGGGTTTTTCATGTTTCTTTTTTTTCCCAGGGGTAAAGGATGATCAGAGGGTAAGATGATGCAGCCATATGAAGCCAAATACATCCAAATACATTTTTCGATACATTTCAATACTATTCGTCAATGTAAAGATGATAAGAGGCTTTCTCACCATGAGATCCAGGCAAATTGAGTTTCTAGATGTTCTTCTTAGAGGGTTCGGACCCAATCCATGAGCGTTGGTCTTCTGGAGTCCACCCTTGACAGAATTTGCTGCAGGATCTACGGTGACCAACATGAGTGGTACAACTTATCAGCTCGAAAGTGGGTTGTTTGCATCACGAAACTGATGGTTTTGCTCAACCTGCAATACTTGGCACAGCCGCTGCACAAATGGATATTGATGGATATTGTAGTTGACTCCATTTAGTTTAAACCGACTGACCTATTGCATGTCATGTTGAACAACTTGTTTGGCCAAGCGCACCGGTTGCAGCTGTCGGTGTCGCGCAAGAGTGTGATGTGAGCTGTCTTGGATGTTTCTGGTACACAACTGCAGTGTGACCACCCCACCACCCAGAACAGAAGACGCCGAAGCCTCTTCAGGAACGAGAGGCGCTGCTGAGAAGTGCCGAGCAAATGCTTCGGCAGAAGGAGACCGAGCTCGAAGGCGAAGATGTTTCGATGTCGCGTCGTACCCGTCACACCGCAGCGGTCGCTGGTGTTTCGCTTGTGCGTCGGCGCTTTTCGGGCTGTGTCCAGTCAAAACCAGGAGCCCAAGATCGGGTGTTTCATGGTGTTTCCATAATATATAATATATGGCTACGGCCAGAAACATAAGGAACGATCCATACCAGGGTTTCTGGCCACACCCATATGTTTCCGAGTGAGGAACCCCAAAATATGCCGAAAGCATCCCTATACCCGGATTGGAGGGCCCAGTCGTACCTCCTGAGGTTCGGTATGTGGATCCCGTTCGGGATAGAAACCTGTTGGGGGTCCTGGAGTCATGGTACGATTGTATCTCTTGAAGCCACAATTATGGCACCCCCATGGGGCGTGTCACGGGCGTGTCAATGGTGTGTCAAACGCCAGTGGGGTCGAAAGCGGCCCTTGTGTTTCTGGCTACTCAGCACACCCACCAATCTACCCATCTTGGTTTGGCTGGTGCTTGGTAGGAAATGAAAGGACATGAGGGAATAGATCCAAAAGAATGTCCGTTCCCACACTATCCAATTATAGAATAATTGCATCTATTGGGGTTATAAATGTGTTTTCTTAATGTATATAACTCTTCCAGACATGGATGGTCTGGCGTTGTAGAGCTTAGCAAGTTGGTCTTCGGCACCACCTGTCCGAAGGTCAGACCGAGCCTTTGCTACGAGGCGCGGGTCGGATCCGCGCTTTTCGCGGGTTGCGGGGAAAACCAGTTCGGATATGTTCGGAAATCCTTTGACTCAATATAAGTCCAACTCACGTATGATTCTGAAGAGTTCCTGTGGCAATGATTGGCAATGTATTGTTCATGAGACAAAGTCAGTACATAAAGTCAGACAAACCCAGTAGGAAACACATGTACTACATATACTTATAAACTACCCTCCTTTAGAAGGAGAAAGCTGTCAGAAAAAGATCTGACACAGTCTGACTGTAGACTACTTTTGAAGAAGAAGATACAAAATCTGACATTGTTTGACAGCAGACTACTTAAACAGTAAAAATCTGAAAGCAACTTAGCCAGGTAGACTCTTAGTCGACTGAGCCGACTTAGCCGACTTAGCTAAGTTAGCTAAGTCCAGCTAAGTCGAAGCTAAGTCCCATGCCTAAAGTATGGAACCCCAAACCTACAAATTAAATTTGTCGTATTTGATGGAAAGCATTGTGTTTGGGCCCCACTTGACGAAAAACATAGTGTTTCTGTCGAAAACATAGTTCTTCCAATAGCACTAAGTTTCGAACCCGTATAAAAAACATTCAAAAAAAACCGTCGACACCCATAGAAAGCCGTAGAAAACCCGTAGAATCCCATAGGCAATCGTATCGCTTTTTTTGGGAAGTCAAACAAATTGTGTTTTCTTGAAACACCTCGCGTATTTTCAGGGTATGACGCTCTATAGGGGCTCTTGGTTCTCTAGGTAGATGCTGTTTTCTTTTTAGGAGCTGAGTCTGTGCTTGCGGGCCATGGTAGCTGTGGTAGCTCTTCAGAACCGTTTGCAAATCTCTGTTTTGCTATGAAGACTCATGGCGTCCGAACCGGGCACCTGACTCGATTACCTGGCCCCTAATGGCCCCTGAAGCAAACAGTTCATTAAAACATCTACGACATGGAAAGAGTACCAGGTCACCCATCGAAACCTACCGCAGGTGCCCAGTCGACCCGACGTCCGCTTCGGTCGCTCGCGCCAGGCACCTGGCCGGCAGCTCGAAGTGCTTCACCGGCGTCGCCCCGAGGCGAAGAAGACGTCCGCTTCGTTCGACGGGTCACGGGTCCGGTCGAAGACGGGGTCGTTAGAATAGAAGATGTTCCAAACATGGGACTATATAAGCTTTGGTACTATAAGCTTTGGTACTATAATGTACTATATATATATATACATAACATATACTGATACTAGTATAAAACCCTGGTATGTAATCCTGAATTTGGTTTGCAGTTTGGTGGCAATAGCGGCTAGAGATGGCTCGAAGATTGGCCTACTTCGAACCTGAAGTTACCCCCAATTGGTGAAGAAGGACAAGGTTTCAAGCCCTTCAGAGGCTTTTGCCGAGAAGAATTGTGTATGCTCCCTTTCTGTGTGGTAGGTCGGTTCTGGCTTGAACCAGCCTTGATATGCAAGTCCATCATATCACTTTTTTCTCCATGCGACACTATGCAAACGGGCAACGTGTTTCCTTTATTCTTAACATGTCCCGTGTTGCTCGAGCTGTTGATTTGCATTGTTGCAGGCAAGGCGTCGACCACACCTGCTGCACCAGCGCACCTTGACAGCAAACAACACTGGCCAAGCATCTTCCCCTGATGCCCAAGCTGCCCTTTGCTTTACCAAGATGGTCGTGACTGCAAGGCTTCTGAGCAACACTGGGCCGATGTTGCATGGCAATGCATGGCATGTTGCATGGCATTTCAATGCCGCAAAGGGACATGTAAGGCTTGTTTGCCGATCCCCCTGCTAGAAAGCACCGCAGGGTTCTGGATTATTGGAGCTTCCGCTCACCCCTGATTCTGATTGGGGATGGGCACAAGAGGTTTAGACTGATGCACGCTCACTGCAATGTTGGATGGGTCATTACCAATTGATCAACCCTGAACATCACCTTCTGGAGTTGAAAGGGTTCCGCGCTGCATAGTGGTGCATGGCAACGCAACAAAAAAGTATATCAAAAATTAAAACACCCCCCCCGAAAAAAAGACGACTCTGAACCATCAGATTGTCCATTGGAATCTCTACTTTGCCTACTCTGAAGTCTCACCATGATGGTCGTCTTGGACCGTTCAAAGCCCTCACGATCTCAAATTAACCCCAACACACGACCAGCGGCGACCGCGACCTGTTTAAGGCAGGGCGATGGCGACAGCCCGGACACGACGGCCAAAGAGGCGAAGCGGCGATGGATGGGGATGCGTCCTTTTTTTTAAGGCGGAATGTCGCATCCCCTTCTAACTTCCTTGAGGGGACTTCAGTTGCATGATGTTGCATGATTTGCAATCGTCGCTTTTGTTGTCATGTGTCATTTGTGATTTTGGGTGGGGGTGTCTTTCATGTGCGTGTTGTGTCGCTTTGTTCGGTTCATTGGAGGTTGGTTTGGAGTCAAGCGGACGCTTGGTATTCTAGAGGATGTTGACTCTTGATACAGCTTGCATTTGTTTGCACTCTTTCACTGAAATCTTATGTGTACTCTCACTCTCCCCCCACTGATTGCTACAATCATGCGACTAACTTCTTCAAAGCAATTCTTTGCACCAGCAAATCTATGAAAAGTCTTGGTTCCAGAATTGCACCAGACATGGTTGCTTCGCCATTTCTTTGCTAGCCCAAGGCAAGCGGTTGGTTCCAACCTACCCGGAGGGCGGACGCCAATTCTCCGTTGAACACCTGTGTAATCGAACGACAGGTGGCCCAGCTGGCGCAGCTGGAGGGCGAACCACAGGCAGCGAAGCGGTGACAGACAACTGGGCTTCAGTCATTTCCAGTTTCCAGCTAGTGCAGATGTATATGCTAGCGGAATTTTTACCGCCCAGAAAAACATCCAGAAAAACATGGATGTTTTGGAGATGGACGACTTCAGCACAGTGCCTCGATTCCGAGGGTTCAGATGTCATTCGGTTCAAATTACACATGCATACAGAAGAAACCCTTCTACGTTGCTACACAATGCGAGCGACTGAGAGTGGGGTGGGGGTTGGGGTGGGGAAGGGTGGGGTGGGGTGGGATGTTAACGTTCGGTTCAAATTACACATTCGTGCGTTCGTTGTTCGTTCGCGCGACTTGATGGATCCGCGCGGTGTGAGAGAGAGGGAGAGGGAGAGGGAGAGAGAGAGAGAGAGACGTCCTTCCCGCGAGTCGTTTTCGGTCAGTCACACCCCGTTGACCCCACGGATGGTGCCGACGGATGGGGACGGGTGCCGGCGATGGGCGGTGTAATTGAAGAGGGAAACCACCAACCAATGGTTAGACGGTAGACTGGTCGATTTCTTCCATCCCTATTCATACACACGATAGAGTTACAGTACCAATATATTATATTAATATATTATGATCATTTCCCTACAGGTCAAAGACCTTCATTTTACTGATCCTGTCCATGAATCATGTTTCATCAACGGTCTGAATGGCCCGGAGGACTCTTTTTTCAAATAGGTTCATCTGTGGAAACGTGACAAAACATAATTTTTTCCAAAATGTGGTCAAAATTCAAAAAACGAACGTGCCGATGGGGACCCCTTTTTGCCAAGAAAATGCTGTAAGGGTTGCACAACGCAAAAAAAACGACATTTGTTGAACCCTTTTTTCTTTCTCAAAAATCAGCTGTCGCTGCAGCGAAACAGAGAAAAAGACAAAAATCGTGGGGCGGTAATAATTCCGCCGGGTAGTATATGATTGAAGAAACACATATATTATATATACATGTTTGAAGAGACTATATACTATAGATGCGTTTCAAAAAATATACATATAACTATAACAATCTATGGACGATTCCTTGTCCTCGCCTGTTTGTTGTGCGAAGCCTCTTGAGATGTGATCCCTTTTGTTTGCATCCGCCAAGCGGCCCCAGAAACCCGATGGTGTATGGTCTACCTTTCTTCTTACTGAACATCCAGTCTGCAAGAGCTCTTCATAGTCCGGTGGAGTATGGTGTGCTGAACCCGGCGGCGAGTGTGGGGTAGTGTTTGATGTCTTGCAGGTCAGTGCATTAGCCCCAGACAGTGAGACAACGCTTCGTGTGTTGAGGCCACCACCATGGATGGTGAGATTGAGGAGATGCTTGCCGCCTCCATTGTCCCTCGACCGCGTGATCACATGTGACGTCAGCGTTCACAATGCATCTATAGTTTACAACGCGTACATCTTTTGGGCATTGCGTTGACATCCGGCCCCACGATGTTCCAGCATTTCTCTCCTGTTGTTCTCGGAATGTCCTTCCTTTAAACTTGGCACCAGACCAAGCGCCTAGCACGTAGACGGCTTGGGAAGCTCCTGCAAGCGGGTTTGCCAGGTGACGTTGAAGCCAGAGGCACATGGAAAGCAGCCGCAGTCGTTTTGTCAAGCTGACTGTGTCAGTTCCAGTGTGTCACACCAACTATGATGACAATTTGAAAGTCCCTCTTTTAGAGGGACCGTCCATCAATCGGAAAGCAAGTGGATGTTTGATGATGTTTGAGCATAAGAGGAAAGTTTGGCCTAGCTGCGAAGCAACTAAGCTGCCACACGGAGTCCTGGTGAAAGTCGCAGGCCCTTACTTTTTTAACGTGTATCTTGAAGCACTCTTAAATAACAGCGGGGGGACGCAGACAATGGGTGGACAACATAAACATCATCGCGGGGCCCCACGGGGCAGGTGTGGCCCGGCAAAACACAGCAGCCTGCGAGGGGACTCAGGGCAAGTCGGAGGGCTCACAGAGTGACAAAGGGTGGGGAATGGAAAGGTCTGATTGATCTGGGGGAAACTCGGCCGCTGGAAAGGGAGCAGGAGAGATGCCAAGAACCCTTTGATAATTTGACAAGTTTCCTGTAGATATTATAGAAGCGGTCCTGGTCCTTTAGCCAGAGTTTTCAACGAGTTTTCGACAAATCGTTTCCACAGTTTTGTTCAATTCACTATAGCACCACTGGCACCTTTGCCGTTCACAAAGATCCCAGATGAGACCCAACACAGCGGCCATGAATCCTGCAGATCATAATATACATTTGTGTGTTTGTTGTTCCATGCGTCACGTCGTACTCAAGAACCATCCTCAGCCTAGCACAGTAATCGCACGTCTGACATGTCCAGGATGCGCCACAGGAGGGCCATGAAGATGAGAAAGGCAGGGTTGGGAGCAGATGAGAGTTGAGGGTTTTTGTGAGTATATATTCGTGTGATTCCTGTTTCCTCAAAATCAGTAGGACCATCCATGGAGTGTCCACAATGGAGTCCACAATAGATGCCCATTAGTATTGTGATGTAGTATGCAAGTTGTCCAGTGGTGACCCTGATGATCGTTGATCTGAACACCCAGCTGAGCCAGGTTTGCTGGAGCTGGTGCAAAAAAAGCGCCGTCAGTTGAAGAAGCAAAGAGCCGCTCTCATGGCCGCCTGGCGAGCGGATGAGCCAAGCGTGAAGTGCATTCATGTTTGGTGCATTTCCATGAAAATAGGGGCAGGCTCACCGCATCAGATTCGGTAGAAAGCAGATGGAGCTACTTGGCGGGGTGTGATGATCCCTCCAAGTCGATGCACTGATAGCAGCACACTCATTCCATCGGAAAAGGTATCTAATTTTTTGGGACCATACGCTGGCCGTGCTGGTCGGAAAGCGAAGGAAACCCTGAAAAGAATTACATCCAACGCCCGAAATCACCAAATCCCCACTCTGAATCTCCACCAGCACCTCAACTGAACCCAACTCCACCTACTCCACCCCATTCCTGAACAAACAAAAGTGTCCACATCCATTGCACCGCAGCCTCAACTAAAACTATACTCCCTAAAATCCCCCATCGCTCGCACCGTGCCATGCGGCGCCAGCCCATGCGTTTGGAGCTTCGTTCGCTCCATCGTTGGCCTCAGGTCGAAATGGAGCACTGGCGCCACTTGGCTGATGTGAACGCCGCCGCTTTGCCAAGAGGGCGGGCGGATCTTGGATGTTTTGGGGGTTGGGGATGAATTATTTTGAATTATGCTATAGATGGGCACGTGTACACCAGCAGTTCCAATGGAAGGGTTTTTAGTCTGTAAGTGAGTGGATATTGTTAAATTAAAACTATAGCTATAATCAGAGCTGCATGTGGTGGTTTCGACGGTTGTTTGCTTTGATACTATTTCAACATCTGACTTCCTCAGGATGGTTGCTTGAAGATGAGAGGTCTTGTTGCCTATCACTCACTTCCGACTGACCCTCGGCATCCCATGCTCTGCCCCCGCTGGTGGCTCTGCCGAAGCCGAACAGGAAGCGACGTGACCTCCGGTCGGCGGCCCAAAGCGGAGAAGAACGTCTTGGAGCGGGCAGAGTTGTCAAGAAAACGCGGAAAACGCGTGTGGCATGGTGTTTGTTTTGCTTGATTTGAGTTGCACGTTGGATGCTTTTGCCTCGTCGAACTTGCCCGAACATGCCGGAACTTAAAACAAACTCGGATGAACCAGGTGGATGGTGGGATGTAGCAGGATGTAGCATGTGACTCTTACTCTTCCACCATGTGCCATGTGGAACCAACGGCTAGACGAAACAAGAGCCTCTCCAGGAGCAACGCTTGGCCACCGTCCTGGAGGGCTTGCGGGAGACCAAGGCCGTCGAGCGAACGTGGCTCGGACCGCAGTGGACCGGGGTGGGCCGCCCGGTGGGCCCCACTGGGGTGAGGAGATGGGGTTTGAGGGAGTGGTCGTTGGTCGTTCTTGCCGTTTTTTGGGTTGCTCCAACAAGTTCAGGGATGGTGGTGTGTTTCCAGGTCGCAGATCCTCCATTGCCCAGAATGTTTTCCAAAGGATATCGGATATCACTTGAATCGAAGTATGTGTTCCAAGTTTCTGATGGTTTTGGGGGGGGCCCATAGACGGTGGATAGGATGTTCATCAAACTCTTATTTTCACAAACTCAGATTGACTTTAGATTTAGATGACTGCATGTAGATACCGCACACCAACAAATTTTTTTGGAGGTTGGCAAACCTAGGACTCAGGGCCTATTCAGGTGTAAATTTTCGAGGAAGAGCCCCTTCAATGGGTTCAGTATCATGAGGCGCAATTCGATCACCCTGCGTTTGGGTGTTTGATGTCTAAGGCTGCTGAGCCTCCATTGGCCACAAAAGGATGTGGCAGGGCAGCCCAGCAGTAGCTGAGATAGCAACTTCCAGCCTTTTTGTCAGAGTTTAGGTGGCATGTGAACAGCATTTGCTGCAGCAGTTGCTGTGCTGCTGCATGCTGCTGCGCTAAAATCGAAGTGCAACTATCACTATTTTTGATCCAGAACCTGGTATTCAGAGATACCTTCACCTTTCTCGAAATCTGGCAGCCCTTTTTCTGCCCAATGCGAATGACTGCACGGTTGGCTCATGAAACCAAAGCCTCAGTATCATGCCTTGAGTGTATTAAAAACGTTGATGCAGTGCAAAGGTTTTTGAGCTTTAAGAGGTTTCACCACCTACAAAGAACCAAATCCTATTCAGATGCAGCTATTGAACCAAATGCTGAGGACGCGGGCCGACACTACAACTTCGTACCGGCCACTCGCGAGGTGCCTGGGCGAGTGTCAGCACCGTAAGGGCGAGTTACCAGAACTTCCACTCCCCAATTCGCGCAGATTCTGAGGCAGTCATGTGCACATATGTGCACATAGTTTTATATGTTCTAAAAGAGTTGAAATTTGCATTTGTCAAGATTTCAAGATTTGTTGATTTGCGTGATGGTTGAATTTCATTAGGAACCTTGACCATTGATCAACACAGGGGCATGATGGCTGGCCGACATTTTGGAGTAAAACTCGTGTGCATGGTGCAATCTTCAATTGTCCTTTGGCGGATCTTTGCTGGATATTGTAGCCATTGAAAGAGTCCGCTTGGATATATATATATATACACATATAATTGTTGTGCCTGATCCTGACAGGAGCACCATGTCACACAAGTCTCATGAATATATGGCCACCTCCAAGTCCCGCACTGGTAGCAAACAGGGTTTGCCAACTGAAGTTTTTCAAGCAGGACGGCCCGGCCCCAGAAAAGGTTAAAGGGCTCAGGAGTGTGTCTCATTGGTCAAGATCGATGAGCCCAATAAGTGGTTCCTCATGTCATTTCCTCGAGCAAATAAATCGATATTATGTTCTTTTTGTCGCCGTTTCCCTTGGTTCAGTCTCATACCATTTGAGGTTTTGCCAGGACGACTTCGGGATATTGCAGAGATTTGTTACGGGGACTTCTTGTACTTTGAAGACCCACCCAATGCTTGACGGTTTTTTTGTTCTTTGGGGCTCATGCATCTCACAAGTATAAATCATGTTAATGTTTGCACATGAGGATCCCAATAAAGTAAATTGCTTTCTGTCCTACTACAACCGCCAGGTGGAATGGGTGAACACCAGTTTTTGTCTTCTTCTTGCCATCAGAAGCCCCATCCAAGGCCTATGGCCACACCAGCCCAAGGCAGGTGTGCACGAGTCAAGACCAGCTGCAAATCACTGGGTAGCCGGGTAGCAAGATGAACTCTGAAGATATATTCTAACCATTGAATTATTGAGCATCACATTCCTAGTTCGGCCTTCTCAGGGGTTAGCTTTGACATGCTCAAAGGCCTCCTGGGTCAACAAAATGCGTCCATTACTTGTGAGGGTCGGCCTAGTGGCTGGGGGTCAGTGACCTCGGAGTTGGACAGTCGACAATCCGGATATTGAAGTGAAGGGTCATGATTAATAGGTACGTACCTGCTTACAGACATATCTAGTTTTTCTATATCACGTGAGACATGATGTGATATGAGATGACCTGATATGCTACACATAATTACATATATATATATTGCATAGTTATATACGTAGCTAAGATATTCAGTGCTTATAGCTGTTCTTAACCCCAGATTATTGCTGTGATTATTTGCATCACATGTACGACTCGCAGTGACAGGGAAGAAGCTGCCGGGGGACTTAGAGAGCGGAATGCGGAATTAGCGACCGGGCGCGATCGGTGTATGGACCCTCCCTGGATGGAAGCGATAAACCCAATAGCGTGCAGCTACCAACAACTACTTTATAGCACGTGCATGCATCTACATACCGACCTATAGGTTCTATGATTTTCCTCTTCCTACACCCAGGGTTGCACAACATATATACCTGTACCTTCACGTAATCTTTCGAGTTGCGGTACCCCAGATGCATGTCAGCAGCATGCGCTGCACCATGTTTGTAGGCCATGCGGCTGTTGGAGCGTTGGCGTTCTGAACGCCAGGAGCTTGGCCGGAGGGAGGACAGACACAACATTGAACCCTGAAAAACCGCAGAAGGAACGTTGCCTTCCTATTTTGCCCTCGAGGGTCGAGACTCCGTTGTTCATCGCTTGCCCCATTCGTTGGTCTCCTGCTCCCGACGCCTAGACGTCCCTGCTCGGGACGTCTAGTGATCACAGTCGCTGGTCCGAAAAGAAGAGGAACCCAGGTGAGGAACCCTGTCAGGTGTCAGCATGGTTTCCGGTATACATATATATCTATGCACGTATATATATATATGTAATTATATGTGTGCGCATATAGAGATATAGGATTGTATATATAGGTGTGTGTGTGTGTCCGTTATGCATATGTTTTTTAGATTTATAGACATTTTTGTCTAAGGGTGGGTGCGGCAAACACTTTTCATGATGAGTGCATTGAGCGATGCACAATCACTAAAGGTTGTGAAGGTAAGTCCAACTATGAACACACCTTTTTCTGGCAAACATGATAGCAATGTCCCCTAAACCCGTCCTTCGCTCGCTCAAAACACGCCTCGCTCGCTCCCAGGTCGCCGTAGAACACACGGGGCTTTGTCGGCCCGCAGTGGTTCCAGGCGTGCCCGGGGTCCGTTGATTCACGAAAACCTGTGACTGTTGAGCATGTTGGCGATATGCTTGAAGCATGCTTTGGATACGAGCATTCATGCTGTTGAGATCGAGGTTTCAGCAAGTTGAATACACAAGCGTGTAATTATAAATATATGATTTATAGCTGGTTCTTGTGTTGTGAGCCACGTGCAGCAATTTTGGAACACGGGCTTGAAACACAACAGATTCGAGGGATTGTTAATCAGCCTATGTACCGGTTCTTTTTGTTCCAGCATTTGCCAGCACTATTTGCAAAGCTGGCCTCTAACAAGAAGCTGGCAAGTGCTATGCAGATGACATCCCCCGAAAATGTCTCCACCAGCAAGATTCAGCATGTCAAGCCTTGTGGGCACAGTAGCTGAGACCTTGCTTTGTCAGTCATTTTCATAACATTGTTATATCCGTGCAAGAATGAATGCGACAGCCTTCCTCCCAACCAACCCTGACGAGCATGTTGGGATTATTGGAAGTGAACAGATGCAATCCTTTGCTGAGCTCCGTAGCCAATTCCAAACGGCACCTTCCCTTCCGACCCAGATGTATCCCATTGTTTCCCACCATCATTCGAAATCAACGAAGGATGATTACATTGTTATTGCTTGGCAGCCTACTGCGAGAAAGTGGTGCATGTGTTTTTCCAGTTTGGCATGTCTCTAAGACGCATGTTTAGATTCAAGACTTCGTTTTCACCTGCGCAGTTCGACGATCCCCTTCATTAGCCGTGGCTTGGCAGTGCCAAATGATGCGGTTTGATTGGACTGGATGGTGCTGGTGTTGTCATCGCTGCTGGTATGAATTGGAGGAAGCCGGATCAACTCCCAAGAACCTTTGTGGAGGAATTAAGTGTTCCAGAGTCAATTGATGGTGCAATAGACAAAGTGCAGCCGGAAATTCAATCAATTTTTGTTGATTCAACCCCCAACAGGACTTGCAAATTTCCAGGGCAACCAGACTGCAGCTTGTCACAACACAAAAAGTTGTGTGAAGACACATGTGCCTTATCAGACCTCCGCCCTTTGACCATCAACAAAGTCCCTTTTGCCTTCTGAGGAGCAATGCCATACTCGGCCCGTGCGAGCAGGCCTGGCAATGGTGCCGATCGGCGTGTCAAACGAGAGTTTCGATTGATGTCAGTGAGCAGAAGTGGGCGACCAAGTCTCAGGATGCGCTTTTAATACTCATTGGCTGTGGCCAAAAACTCCCTGGATCGGCGACCATCATGTGATGATTTGCGCGCAGTGGGTTGACTTAGAAATCCCATCTAGTGCCTTTTGCTTTTGCTGCATTGTTTGTTGCCGTTTTCGACTCGTTTGGTTGCCCAGAGTGAGGGGCAAGTGGATCTTATAAGGGATGATTGTGACCACAGTGTTGCAGAAAATGAAACCCGAACATCAGATGGAAAAGCTAAAGCATGTTTAGCTGCTTTTCGCTATCTCTCCCGTCATTTGTGCAGGTGTATCAAACTGGCTCAACCGAACTCGAACGACGGGACACCGCATTGTTGGACCTCCAAAGCCCCGTGCCAACATGTGCCAACCGATTCGCTTGTGAAGCGTAGGTCCAGTGGCCGACCAACGAGGCGCAAGCCGGTTTCAAAGCGGCGACGGAGGGAAGCGGAAGGGATCCGAGGGGAGCCTGAGAGCAGGTCCGTTTCGTAGGTTGGAGTTGTTTTGTTGGCCAAAGTGCCGATTTGCAACTCTGAACCTTGGGAAAAGGGTAAGGCCGGGTAAGGGTCAGTTTCACTGTACTGGCAATAATGGGTTCGTGTTTAAGTGAGAGCCCCTTGTCCAGATTTGGCCAAGAAAGCCGCCACTCAAACCGTCTTCACCCTGAAGATGCTGGGTGCACTTGGTTTAAAGGCCACTGGTTCGTACGCATAGGACAAAGATGGACAAAAGACAAAGCTTCTGATCGCAGACAGGAAGAACTTCTTCGATATGCATCCCCCGTTCTTTGTCCGCATCAAATTTCCACACACACACATATATATATATATACATTGCAAACATGAACATAATGCTCCCTGCAGGCAAACAACCCAGCTGTTTTATGTGCAAATAATTCCTGAACTTAGCCTGTGGGTTTGGTTTGAATGTAGTGCATGCATGCACTTCTTCCAGGATTCCGGGCGTGCTTCAATGATACCTTTCCATAGGCTTGTAATCGGGCTACGTATGTACATCAGTAGAAAAAAACTCCTTGAAATGATTTAACACTTAGGATTATGTAACTTAGAGTGCATTAGGGAGTCATATGACATATGTGAAATTATGTAAACCATAGATAGATAGGAACCTTCCACTTTCCGAAAGACTTCGAGTGTGGCATCCTGCCTCACCATCCTGCTGGGGCGGTTTCTTCATCTCCGCGTTGCATGGTGGAAGGTTCCAGTCAGTTGGAGTCCCAGACGTTGAGTGTCGAGACTTCCCCACGTTTGGGGCTCAACGTATGGTCGTTCCGGGCGGTTCCCCGGATCTTTCCTCTACGGGAATCCCAGGATCTAGTAGAGACTTGGGTCTATTGAATGCACTGGTGCGTTTGCGCAATGTTGCCAGGTGAGCCGAATGGTTGAATTGGCTGCTTCCGAAAGGAACTGCCCTGTGCACGCTGTGGTGCACTTAAGTTGCTAGCGACTCCCTTGTGATGGGGATGGAGCGATGCATGAATTCGCCCAGAGTTGGTTTTCCGTTTTCTGTGTCAGCATGGGATTTGCCGTCCAACTTCAGACTGAGACCTGATATTGCAGAAGGTCTTGCAGGGAAGAGTTGAGGGACTGGCCTTTGTCCAGCATAGATTGCAGTGGGGGTGGTCGTATGGGTTCTGTGGAGGGCATCAAAAAGTAACTCGCCAGCTCCTGGGCTGTGTACAGCTTTCGATGCTCTTGGCAAAGAGATGCCGCGGAGAGCGTGAAAAGGCGGCAGTGACCAACTTGACATACCAACGCGAACATGTTTCGTTGTCTTGGAACTTGTGGAACTGTGAGGGTTTGGTAAGAGTATATTAATATTAATATATATTAAGAGTGCATGAGCACTTTGGACAGTACAAATCCTTAGCAATTTGATCAAACGATGCATTTCCATGCGTTTCCTCCATGTGGACCCTGGAAGTCTCAGATTTCTTAAGATTACTTAAGTATGCTTTCATTGCATCCTGATATCTCCAAGTTTGGTCAAGCATCCAAGATCTTGATAAATTTTGGAGACGGCTGCTGCTCCTCTCCAAGGCCCACAGAGAGTCAGCAGTACCAGGAGGTGTCGCTGGAGGTTGCACAGGCGCAGTGGCCCGACCCGACCCACGTTGGGCGAGACTAAGAAGAGGTGATGAGTCGAACCAGCTTGGAGGATATATGAGCAATGAAGACCCTCAGCAATGGCCAATGGTTTGTTCAGCTACTTTTGCAATCACATCTTACTTGGTTTATCGATCGTTTGGGCTTCGCATGTGGTTCATTCTGCCAACAGCTGGCAAGGCCTTGACACATCACTAGAGCTGTAGGGCCCGTTTTCGCCCAACAAGCTACTACGACTCGTTCTTCACCATGAAGTGGAACGTGGCCACTTGGATATATATATATATATATGTATACTTGGATTACCGTTTTCCTCTACAAATAGGTGGTGAATTCACGTGAATTCCACTTCCAATGATTGCTTCAGGGGTGTGATCGTTCTTATGAGGGGGGCCTTTGCAGCTTTGATGTTGAGTCCAGGAATGTCAAGCTACTTGGGTCCTTCAGCGGCAGATGTCTCGCAAGCGGATTATCTTATGGCGTTTAGGTAGTCAATCTCCCAATTGATAATTGATACCTTTGATATCTATATCAAATCCCAAGCAAGGCTCCCCCTTCCCCATATAAAAGATCAATCCAAGCACCAAGGACTTATGAAAACCAACCTTTGGAGTTCCGAGTGCAGTGCCGTGCTTTGCACAGTGCCGAGAGCATTGAGGATTTGGTCGATTTTGTTTTGCCTTGCCTCGTTCCCCCCTGCCACTGGTCCTGAACAAAACACCGTCCGATTGGACAGAGTGCGTACGTGCATGCAGCGGTGAGCTTGGGTTGGGTTGTTCATGGTTGTTTCCGACTGGTGAGTTGGCGTTCGGTGGGGATATATATATATATATAGGCCTTGCTTTTCCTGTTTGCAAAAAGCCAGAGATACGCAGACGCAGACCCCTTCCTACTCCCAAACCCTGCAAAGTCCTGCCAGATCATTGAGGAGTGGCAGTCAGTGGGCCGCGACTGTGCGGAGGGCTGGAGGGCTTGGATGTGGAGCACTTTTACTTCGTAGGAACCGGTGAACCAGTCGCCGGATATTAAAGTCTCACTCATTTACATCCGGAAGGTGCTGCCACAGGATTTGGTTTTCTCCCTGACTCAAGTTTGCAGAAAAGTGGATATGTCATGTGTTTTTGTGATTCTTTATGAACCTACTAACTGATTCACTCAAGTTCCCTCAAGGAGGCTCTTGTTATTAGTTCAGTCCATCCCAGATGCCAAGAAGGAGAAGTACCACTGAGCTCAAAGTGAAAACAAACCAAGAGCTTGGACCCGATCGGGCCATTTTGTGGGGCAACTTGACCTGTCACCGCTGCTTCGACACCGCGGGTGTCTTGGTGGTTTGACGCGACCAAGTATGGGGCGGGAATGGGTTCTATTCTTCAGTCACACAGAGAGTGGCTAAAGCATTTGAGATGCTTTGGGTATACCAAGATGCAGGTCCAGGTTGCCAGATTGGTGAGCAATGCGACCTTGCCGAGGGCAACTGGCTTGCTTGTTGAAACCAGAGAAGCAAGGTGGCAATGTGTTTGCACAGCAGCATTGTCTCAAGAACCTTAGTCTACTAAAGCCGGTTTTGGGTGTGGTCTCACCCTTAGGTGGCAATATGGTGAAATGGCATGAGAGAGTGGGCTCGCCACCTCACTGTCTTAAGGGGTTGTGGTTGTGTGGTTTTCCATTATGAGTGGCATATCACCCCCTCGCAACAAACGGCTCGCACATGGACTGAGTCCGCGAGAAACGGCAGCGGCACGCCGCGTAGGAGAGCATCGACTCGGAACTGGTCTCGACGCCAACGGCGGCATGTGAGAAGCTTAGAGCATCGACGCCAATCCAGTGGTGTTTGATCGCTTTCCTCTAAGCCGGATTGAGTGACTCGGTTCTTTACATGGGAAATGTATATACGTATTATGTTCTTTAATCACTTCCTTCTTTCTTCTTGGTTCCGGAGAGCGAATCCAAGAAACACTGAAGAGGTCACCACTACCTTTGGAACTGGGGAAGCTTGAGTAGTCACGGAACCTTTCTCCAAAGCAACAAATAGAGCAAGTGGGGTTTTATCATCTAATGAATTTAAGAAAGGCGATATAAGGCGATGGTTTTCTCGTTATTTCTGTAGATACCCTGAAAAGATCAAGTACACCTCGAACGGTCCCACCCAAAATGTTGTTGAAATCCTGCCACTCCTGCATTTGCTGGGAAGAGTCAATGCACGTTTCAGTCGGTTAGTTTAAGGTGCGATTTTTCCAGCCTTCCAGCCTGGAGCCATCTCACCCCGTAGGTCATATATTGTATGTATCAATGTATTCATTATATATATATATGGTTCTTATATCATATCATGTCCAAGCCATATTTCTTGAGAGTTATTTCTATTTGTCTAGATGTGCATCACTCAGGCTCCATTCCTAAACCATTTTGGAGAAGGAGCCTAAGTCAATTGCAGGCTCACAGCTCCGGGGAAGAGTTATTGGAGGAAAGCACACCTGCAACACCTGAAGCCCCACATTTGAGCGTAAAGACCCGTGTGTGTCCCAAACATGCAGGCGGTGCCGCCAGGAATTTGTTTGGTGCCTGGGAGACACGGACAAAGGATCCCAGCCACTGGCTGGCCCGGTGTAAGGCCTTTTTACCTTGGAGATGAGCAGCATCACTATGCATCAGCACGAGAAGATGCCCGGGACACCTGGAAGTGAAGTTTGTTTCTCAAGGAGGAAGGTGCGATGAAGGCATCTCACCGGACATGCCGTTTTTGCCGACCCTAGGAACCGCTTGGCACTTGGAATACTGGAACCCAACGTTTCCGAACGTTTCCTGTAGTTGTACCTCAGGCAATTGTTGTTTTGTAAGTGCGGTTTGGCCTGCCAAACTTTGCTTCCTTGGCACGTGGAGCCCTCAGGTTTTGGCACTCCTCGAAAGATTCAAGTGTATCATGCTCGTTATATATACTTGCCGACATGCGGGTTTTGCGCTTCAGTGCTCCGAGTGATTAGAGTCATTAGAGGGCCTTCGGAAATTAAGGTGCATCCTCATACTCCTTTCCAGGGCTCAAGCATTGTCTCTTATCGCTCCAAGCGCTTGTTCGATGGAATCCTGCAGAGACCTGGGCGTCCCCACCTTGTTGCAGTGAGGCAAATTTTGTCATACTTAGTTAGAGGCCTTTCATCATCCACCAAATCCCTTCATCTCCAAGGTTCTATACCCCAGTTTCGTGTCACTCCTGCCAATGGAACACTCCAAGCTGCTCCGAGAAAAAGCAGCCCTCTCCCAAACCGAACCGGACATCCTCCTTCCCTCGCCGGGACGACCTCTTCCCTCTCCCGAGGTATATCTCTGCGGAGTCGCCGTGCGTGATGGTGAAGTGGGCGTGTGGTCTCAGCGTTTTCCCATGTTTTTCAGGTGCGACACGTCACGTCACTTGGTCACTGCTGCTTTTTGGGGGGCTGAAGGTTTTGACCCACCGCCAATAATGCATCATTTGACTTGAAGTACGGGACCTAACTCGGGGCCCCCGCGCCACTTGCTTTGAACATGTGATTTGTCCTACTTACTTGTGTGCAAGACGTGAACTGAACTCGTTCATCCCCAAGTGATCATTGAAGAGCTCAATATTCCTCTCACTCCGCTTTTCGGGTCCAGTTTTGATCCAAGGGCGTTCCATGTCCTGTTCCAAGGGAGTCTTTGAGGGGTTCACCGGCCTGTTTCCTGTTTCTCAGTAATAACACAAGACGCATATGGTGCAAGATCTTTGGTGACTTCAAGAGGAACTGGACGGACGGACGGACTTTCACGGCCGGACTGCTCAGTCAAGCCTTGGAAAGTTCGACTGTCAGGAGAGAGATCCTATAGAGGGAGAGAGGGGGAGAGTCTTGTTCTTCTTGCAGCGGGGAGAACTGTCAGTGGATGCCAATGCATAAACTAATTATGCATAAAGAGCATTGAGATGAGACTGGTAGCCACCGTTGCTGGTTACATTGGAGTGTTGCATATTCCTTGTGTTTCTGAATGGTATGAGTTGAGGTGACAGACAATTATATAATAAGTGTGTACAACTTGATGCCATTACAAGGAGTAGAGGCACACAACACTGTTTTGAAGGAAGCCTTTCACCTAACAAAGCAGAGGATTCTATGCCCTTTAAGACGTCACAAACGTTGCTCCGAGGACCATGCTGAGTCGTCATTCCAGCTGGTTTGGAGACGGGGGTTGCAGCAGGCAGTCCTCACAGGGCTTTGCATTTGTATTGGAATCATTAGAATATTATGGAATGGTAACTACTTGGCATTGTTACACCCCTGCATACTAACATAGACCCTGGGAATTCACCCGTGGAAGACTATTTTCCGAATACCAACCCAGTATTTGTGGGGATCAATGTTAATCTGCAGGAGGGTACACCATAGAACTTTCCTGAATATCATGCAGTGATGTCCGCCCGCAGCATTTGGCGCGCATATGCTCGCAAAGCGCAAGCCACTTGTTTTGATGAAGTGTCGTATCAACCTCAACATCGAAGTCTAAGAAGGACAGGAACAAACTGCAACTCTTTTGGTTTTGGGAGATGGCTTCAAGTTCAAGGCTTCACCTTGAATTTGTAGCCCATGTGGTCGACATTGATGGCCCCCTTCAAGGTGGTCAAGCACTTTGGCTCCGCAAAGACTGATTTCTGTGACACTCAACCGCAGCGGCGCACTGCGCACCAAGTGGGTGTTCAGGCGGAAAACCATCCGGTCATGAAAGGTCATACTGAGTCATGGCCGTAGACTGTTGAGGCAAGTACTTTTTGCCGTATCACAGTTCCACGTATGAATGACTGTTCTTCAGTTGAAGACTTTTTTTGTTAAGCCCAACTTCCCCAAATGGTGATCTCATGTGATGGCGGGTTGTCCTACAGTTTTGCGATGTGAGAACGACGGTCCTGCACGTTTCGGGGGGGAAATAGTTCTTCTCATGCCAGGCCCTTCTGGTTGAGCTGCTTGGGCCATCAGAAGAAGTCCGGCCACCTCAGTCAAGCCCAGTCACGGCGGTCTGGACAGGCCTAGACGACGATTTGTTGATTTGTTGGAGACCCAACAGCTTCCACCTGGCATCCCACAGCAGCAATTGGGATCATGGCGAGGAGAATCCTGCAAGACGACCGTGCCGGGATAGTACCAAGTCATAGGAAGAAAATCCAGTACCAAGTCCGTATGCCGTATGCATAAGGTTCTTGGTCGTGAAGTTGATGGCGTTTAGTCACGATGTGGAAAACTTCCACTTTGTGATGTTGGGTCCCACAAGGTAAGCAGACATGGTTGCCATGTTTCCCCGAAACATCGAGCACCATGTGAAACCCGACTCGAACCCGACTCGTGGTTCCAGCCAGCCGAGGACTTGTCGAAATCGTAGTACTTTTTGAGACACGGGTTTGTTGTCTATCGGCCCGTGTCGCCCAACATCAGGCGTATCGCGAAACTCGCCACGTCTTCGCCGTATCGCGGAACTCAAAAACCGCCACGGTCCTCAGGGCGAAGGACAAGCCTTCGATGTTGCTGGAGTGGACCCGAACACGGTCCTCAAGGGATGCACTGCGATTGGAGGCGCAGGAAACGGGAAGGAAGGGATGAAGTGCATGACGTGAACGAAGATGAAAGAAGAGTTGTTTTTGTTCCATGTGTTTTCCCGAAGCAATCGGTTGGCCTCCATATGTTTGTTTAATATGGTTGGTTGGAAGGATCGATGCTTAAATGTTCATTTATATTTTTGGGGGCGATGGTGAGAGTGTTATTTTTTTGGGGCGGGGAGGGGACTTCATTGGGGGGCACTAGCAGCAATAGTCATAGCAACATCAGCTAAAGCTTGGCAAGCTCCAACGCCCTCTCGACACCTGAGGTCGTCAAGGACCGCTTCGGGCTCAACGACTTCGACACGGTGTCAATCTGAGATCCGACGTCGTAAGTCAAACATTCTGTGGATATGACGAACAAGATTCGATGCCGAAGAACGCTACTAGGGGCTCCTAGTAGCAAGGACGTTACTAGGGGCTCCTGGCCTTACTACTATAGGAGCAAGAAGCTACGAACGGAGCAAAGGGCCGGTTTTGTGAAAGCGCTTTGGTTCTGTGCTACCCGTGACGGCCCGTGACCGCTCATCTTTTCCCTGACCTCCCGTGACCGCCGTATGAACTTGGCCCGCGGATGTCTTTGTCCTAGTTTGTTTATGCGTTTGGAGGCCGTGGGAGTTCGCAGCCCTTCCACGGAAAAGGAAAACCATTGGGCACCTCTTGGTAGAGGAAAAACAGCATTTTCCCGGCCATTGTCCACTTCCAACGTGAATTGGAATAACCAGTGTACCTACCGACCAGTGGTTTGGTTGGTTTGCACACCACCGCGCGTTTGTCAGGTGGTGTATCACCGGATGGAGCTGCGGAAGAACATGATCCCACGCATTAGCAGCCGGGAGGGCCCGGTTGAAAGATCCGAAGAGCCTATAGAGTTTACCTTTGACAAAGTAGATCAAAGTACAGTGGTTTCAGAGTAGAAAGCACTGTCACCGTCACCCAAAGATGTCCTTTATATGGGGTCCTTTTAAACATTTATAAACCACCTTTTGGGGATTGTGCCATTTACTCTGAAACCACTGTAGTGAAGACTCAGACCTTTTATGTAAAAAGTGTATCAACAGCATGATGATTCAGTACACTATTCTGACCTTTCGTGGGACCTCTTTTGGACCTGATTGGAAGCAATAGACATGATTAAGATTAAGCATGCTCAGGGGACTGTATTGCCAACATGTTTGATTATTTTTGATCCAAACTTCATTAGAGAGCATTGTTTGGGTCCTGGAAGAGGTTGAAGGCTCAGAGAATCTTGGAGCAAAGCCAAACACCACACAGAGATCCCTTAGTGTCGGACAACATGTTGGATCTTTGGGCCCAACGAAGTCGAAATACCGGTCGACGACCCGGTACCGGTCGACCCGTACCGACGTCGTCAGGTCCGACGATGTCCATGGAGAAGTGGATCCACGAGCTGCAAAAGGCCGAAAGGCGACGGGGTGTGCGGAAGCATGTCCCCAGGAGCGCAGAGTGGGTGGCCTTAGAGGATCTCATAAGGTCTCAAGGGCGAAAAGGAGCCTGGAAGTCCTGTGGTTGGGACAGGTGGGACAGGTTAGGGCATGTAAGGTTGGGGAGTGAAGACATGTCAGTCTCAAAGACGAAGAAGAGCAAAGTATTGGCCAGTATGGCTAGCTTGGATTGGAAGACTTTGTTTTGTGGTTGATTCTTTAAACATCTATAGATTCTAGATGGATCCAAGTGCAACTCAGAGGCACTGGGATTTGCAGCTGTCGTTCGCACCAGGACCAGGATTCCTAGTTATGATGTATATTCACAAGCTTAACTGGATGCACTGGGCGAGAGATCTGTTTTTTGTGTTACTTCCTGTTGTATGTTTAGACTGGGGCGAACCAACAGGGCAGGAATACCAGAACTCCTCAAGCAGCCTGGCAAACCATGGACGAGACGATGGAAGACGAGACGGGACGTTTGTGACAAGCCTGTGACAGTTTATTTGAACCATCAATTTGCACCAAGCTGTGAGCTGAAAACCTAATGTCTATCTCCTACACTACACACCTCACGCACGATCGGGACTCGACTCGTGGGTTCGGCCGGATGGCACCCGCCAGGGCCTTCAGCGAGATGATTTTCTTCTTGGCACATTCCTTGAATTGGCCTGGGGAGCCTGGTGGATGGAGACGCCGCTTTCTTGGGGTGCTGAAAATTCCGGAAGGACTCTTTAGTGGTTGGACCAGAGTTGTGATGGATGTGAAAGATCTTTATATATAATTACCGAGCTGTAAGCAACTGGTGTGCCGTCAACATATCCACATCAAAAAGTCAGGCTCGAAGTGGCCCGACGAAATCGTGCCCGAAGGTCTCACATCGATTCGTTTCATGACTCTAGATCTGTGAACCAGTCATGGAACGCATGGAAGTGGATGGCATGGCCCCTTGGATGACCATTTTTCCTCTACAAACAGTAGTTTTCCACTTCCCTGATGAGTTCAGGGAGTGTGCATCTACACTTAGCAGACTTTTTGTTTGGTCATCGGCCAGAACCATCCAGAATCCCCTACCTGCAATGATCTGCAATGAAATGATGTCTCCTGCAGGCATCCGCAGGATTCCGCAGTCTCAGTGCCAAGGGCAGAGACGAACACACACACACACACTTAGAGAGAGCGAGAGAGAGCTCGCAAGAGCACATATGCAGAGAATGGCTAACCGAGTTATATAGTTATTGCATGTTATTGCATTACCAGAGTAGAGCGCTGAAACCTTTAATCTGTCAATGGCCCTGAGCACAACGGTAAGGCGAAAGGTCGGCAACAAGAGAGTTTAAAACAAATCACCTTCTGAAAGCAATTAGAACAATAGGCCTGGCACATGAACCACCATGAAACAAACCAGGGGACCAGGTCGCAACCAATCGAGAAACCAAAGCAGGTAAAGACCGGCACCTTCCTGGTGCCGGTCTTCGTTGGCGCGCACCAGGGAGTCCTGGCAACCTGTAGGTGGCCCTTAGAGACAGGCTGTGGCACACACACACACATACACACACTGGGGCCCCTCCCACAATTCCCCCAAAGGCTTTTGGTTCTGGACTGCAAATGAGGCAGTATGGTGCTGAAGAGACCAAGAAGCCCTGGCCTCAGCAGACGGCGGGAAGCAATGGACAGACATGATCCAGTACTTTTAATGAGGCAGGGCTGAGGAATTTTGTTGGAAAAGCAGAGCCTGAGCCACGAGATCCACAAAATCATAGACATCACAATCTTTAGGAGTCACCTCAGATCATCCAGCTGGAGTAGACCACAGATCTAAAAACAGAGGAGGTAGCTACTCCACATGGATCACCCGGCCGTTGTTTGGATTTCTACCCACTCCGAGCCTCAGATTCAAAGGTCCACGTTTTCGTGGCCGCCCTCCGAGGCGTTCCGACGCACTGAAGGAGGTCGGCGTTGAATAGAAACGACCACGAAAGAAGTGCCTGGCGAGGTGATGGATGTGATGAGGATACGTTTGGTAATGATAGCCATACCCCTCCCCAGAAGGTGCCAGAACTCCTGTTAGCAATGAGTTGGTGCATTTCAAAGAGTTTTGAAGGATAGAGCTGCAGCTCTCTTAAAAATGGAAGATGTTTGTCTACCTTTATTGGACACTTCGATATTCTTATGCTTGTAGAGCTTCGGCTTTACCATGTAGACCCCCCCTCCAATCACACAGCTACTTGGAACAACTGTTCCAATCCAAACACCTGGGGCACAAACATAAAAGCCTCCTTAAACAATTCCAAAAATGACTTTGGGTGCGCATTGAGCAGTAATGAACATTCAAAGGCAACTTGCATGATTTTTTTTTAAATTGGGCATTAGTGCCTTTAAAGGAGCTTCTTGGTATTACCTTTCGTTCATTGGGGGCTCCCTATGTCCGCCTATGTCTTGCCAAATGAGTTCCAAGCTAAGCTATTCGGAATTTCTGGACACTGATCGGTCACCAAGCCGAACAGGCCTGGTCAGTGAACCCACAACGGCAGCGCTTCGTGCGAGAGCTGAAGTATGCCGCTGGGCCGCGCCTCGTGGTTGTTTTTGGAAGGGAAATGAAGGGAAGGTTGACTGAAAGATGATTTACGATGTACGGGTACGTTTGGGCAATGCAGGGGTGTATGATGGTGTATGTTTGCTTGATGCAGCGGGCTTTGTGACCTCGGACGAGTGGGGGCTTAGCCCGTTGGATCGAACTCGGGACCCATTCAAGACATTTGCAGAAGGTACCATAAGGTACCTCAGATCACAGGTTAGGGACATGATGTTTCACATTGTCTCACTGTGGAATCGCTCAACTTGGGGCGGTTTGAACAAAAAACAACAAAACGCTTTGAACATAAGGAGTTCATGTTGGTGTCGTATGTGCCGAACGCAGCTCGTCAGCGGGTGCAGCTCCCGCAGATCGATGAGACGGTGAAGTACTTCCGCGCCTTGTCCAGCACCATGTGGGGCACCCAGGTCAGCCAGCCACAGGTGTGCTGAGCTTGGGTTTGTTACAATCTAGCTAGAAGTTGGATTTCTGGTGGAGGGATGTGGAGGGTTGAGATGAGTTGAATCATGTTGAAGGCTTCCCCTTTCTTTTCTTTGTGGACATGGCGGGCAGGCACTGTGCCATGTTGACGTCGGTTTATGTAATCAACCCACGACGCCCTTCAAGGCCAACAAGGTTTGAGATTGGAGGTATTGGAGACCACATCCCCCGAAAAAAGGTGATGACCTGATGATGGATGATGGTTGACGGGATTCGGTGGAAAATGTGTTTAGAGGGATGTCAATGTCATTTATTGTCTATCTGGAAATGGTTTAAGCTAATTACTCGTAGTGTATTGTTGGGGGCTCGAGATGGGCTTGATAAGGGGAGGTTCATGAATCCTAATGTCAACATGATGGGCTGATTGTTAACCTGTGTGTTATTTTGTGTTTGTTGGCTTGCTGGTTTCTGAATACTATTCATGAGCGGCAGCCATCATGTCAACCATATAGGCCACTGTTTCTTTTGGCTGGTCAATTTGGCCCCACCCTTCCGCACTTTTACCGTGGCTTTCTGCTTTGGGCGAGGCCCGAGATGAGCGATGATGAGGTGGACTTCCAGACACGGCAAAAGGGAAGGTCCACCATCACTGGTGGCCGCTGGGCAGCACTGGTGCAGTCCAGGGCAACACCGTGACGATCGACGCGGGGGCGTTTTGGAGGTGTTGTGTGGGTGAAATCTGCAAGTCCACTAGGATTGGTGCTAGAAATTCAGCCCATTTCAAGCCCTAAGAAGCACGCATCCTTGACTTGGGGAAGCGCGCATGTTGGCGGATGGGAGACCTGAACCCGCTCCGGCGCTCCGTGGCATTTGGTGGAATGGTGGGCCAGTAGGAACACTATATGACCGTGACAAAAAATAACCAGCGCAGAACAGCGTAGAAGGATGTATAGAAGGTATTTTTGATGCACTAACTTTGTTGAACAATTGTTTGCTGACCACCATTCCACTCACTCCCTCCGTTTGGCCTTCATTCAAGGGTGTCGACATGTGCCACCCGACAGGGTGCCGGCAGGTGCCTGGCAAGCGTCATGTCATGTTCGACTGTTCGCAGCCATTTGCTGTCAACAAGTGTGACCGTCGACCACAGGAGCGCAGGCCGTTCGATGGCGAGCAGATTCAAGACTGTGAAACATCAGCCACCAAGGTCGATTGACCTGGATCAATGAGATTAGACATGTTAGATAGCAGTGAGACGGAAGAAGATAGGAACAAATGTCTGCAGGAGAAGCGCTGCTAGTCCTGGTTTAGCGAGAACCCAAAAACCTCATGCCTGTTGCTGCTAGTCCTGGTGCTTTGTTGCCACAAGACACACACACACGAAGAGCCACGAACAGTGCAAAAGGTTACGCAAAGCCAAAAGCACTGCAACGCGTGCGCGGCGCGTGAACAACTGAATCGCACCGCGATTCAGAAGGCGAGGTCGAAACGGCATGGACATTCAGGAAGTCACAGTGAGCTTCATTGAGCTTTCATTTTTGAGGTCGTTGAATCTGCAAAGACCGACGCCCGGAAAGCATCCACAAAAAGGGGAACCCTTTGAGATGTCCAGAAGTTCCAGCGCATTCCAGCACCCAAACGATGCAAAACGGAACATCTGTACCTGAACCCTCCAATCACGTCTCCTTGAGGGTTTTGGCCCTATCGGTCTCAATTGGTGACCTGTTGGAGCGTGCTGGTACAGGTGCATCAGGTTTACAAAGATCTTCCGACAGATTCCTAGATCGAGACAGCGCAGGTGTCGCGATGATCCGCCCAGACACGCTGGTGGCCCTGAGCGCACTTCATCCCGACCCTTCGGTGGAGGTGGCCCAGGCATTCGCGAAGTCCAGTCCGTGCGAATGTTGTGAAGTCTGAGGGAACTTGGAAGTGGGTGGGAAACTTTCAAGGGAACTCCGCAGAGCAGCGAGGCTTTGTCCTTGTCCTCGCTCTATGGCATAGCTGCTTGGTCGTAAGGGATCGAGCAGAGCTCGGCGAGTGCTTCTGGGAGGACATTTAGATAATTAATTATAATTTCATCAGTCGGCTGCAATGGATCGTGTTTAGGATTGTAGATTGTTAAGCAGCAGATGTCGTTGCAGCATGTTTGTTATATAATTGGAGTGTTCATAAACAGAAAGAGGTGGAATTTGGTGGGGAAGATCACCTAGATCCATGTCCAGGATAATTACCGGCCAAAAGGGGGATTATGTAACGTAACTATTTTGGAATGTATCAGGCGGATGGTCGTGCCTGACCAAGAAATGGGATTTTGCCGATTCCAAGTGGAAACTGTATGGATCTTTTGTGCTTGCAATCCCAGTGAATCGCCATGAAGCTCCCGAACATTTTCCTACATTTGACATTTGATGGGATGTCCATAAACATTCCCATGAATCCGGCTTTTTGAACATCGAGGACACCAACAACAAGGGCCGGGTGGATGGTCAAGGCGATTCTACCCACCTACCCAGGCGGACAACTTCTCCGAAGACGAGCAACAAGCGATCCGAGATTTCAGGCGTGTCCAGTGGGAAGTACCTTGTTCCGGGCTGGTTTTCAGGGCTGACGCTGAGTAGTTGTTTTGTTTGTTTGTTTTTTTGACATTGTTTGAATGGTTTGAACCACTGACTTACTATACGTTTCTATCCACGACCTTGGTGTTGAGCATGCAGCATGCCAGGATGAACATGGGGAAGTCATTCTGCTGTGCAACAAGGCTTGCGAAACGGTCTGTGTACGGTCTGCGTTTGGTTAATGAACTGGGGGGGCAGTGGCCTTGCGGAACTCTCAGCGACCCGTTGATCCAGTTGGCTGAGAGCACCATCGGTAAGCAGGGCTCCAGGCTTGGAACAGCTGGGTTTCATCAATTCAAAAACGCACTCGTGGCTGGTACATGCGGTACATTCGATCGTGCCAGGGCGGCTGCGCGGTCGTGCTATTCCAAGCTGGGCTTAGACCTCAGCTTCACAAGCCAGGTGAAGAAGACCTGAGATGGGATTTCAAAGTCGCCTCCCCCCATCGTGATCGGCATCCAGATGTTTATCGAAACTCCGCATCCATCAAAAATTGATTCATTTACTGTTCTAAACGCCACAAGGAAGGGGGGGGCGCCCAAAATGTACACTCAGTCGTACCCTTTAAAGTGTTGGATCACTCCTGTTGAATCGACCGAGGCAAAAAAGCCAAAGCGCAGCTCATCGAAGTCGGAGCCACTCGGAGTACATTTGGCATCATTTGGCCAAGCAAAGGGTGGATGGCCTTCCAGCTTTCAAGAGGTCACAGTGTTGAAGATGAGAACATTTGATTTGGACGATCGGTTTGAGCCTGGTCATCCAGTTTGCTGCTGCATTACCACAGTTTCAGCATGTTTCAGCTATCCATTGGATCATATAGGATCCACCCAAAGGCGCGCGGCGCGCCCAGAGTCGGTCCTAAGAAGCCGACTCTACGTGTTTGTCACTGACTCAAGGAAAACTCATACTATCCTAAGAATCCTCAGGCTCTCCATAGCAGGGGTCGGACCCGACACCTTCGCAGGGGTTTGGACCCGAACCAAACCCTTTGTGTTTGAGGGCCCGGATTCTTAGGGTATAGTCAATTGATTGGAGGGTCCAGGAGTGTTATAGATACTGTAGGTGGGATCACGTTGACCAGGAATGATCAGCTCACACCTGGCGCTGAGGACAGCATCTTTGCTCAGAGCACGGTGGAAGATGTGGAGAAGACCCATGATGAGGAGACCATAGACAGCCCTCGACTTTTAAAAATTTGGTTGATTACACCCGGGAAGAGACTCACATGGAACCTGAAAATTGACCTTTGGAAGACTATCTTCCTCTACTAAACCAGTGGTTTTCATGTTCCATGTGAATCTTCCGGAGTGTAATGGAGGAGATACCCACAAGTGGACACCGAATAGTCAATATGGTACCTGGCATCGACTCCTCGGAGACTGCACGACGGTCCTGGTCCTGAACCGAACCTTTGAAAGGTGCTTTTTTGGTCCTTTGAAAGGTGCGTGTGGTCCTGGTCCTGAACCTTTGAAAGGTGAAGGTACATGTCCTGGTTTGTAAGTGTTGTACCGGACTGACGGAATTCACCCGTGCTGTTCGACCGTGTTCTCTTCGACCCACCGGACGGAGGCTGCAAGGGCTTCCGTCCGGACCACGGGTGACGTCGAGGCAACGAGGCAATCTGTTCATTGGTGAACATGAGGGCAATTTCACTTTGTACCCATGCATATATAGGTGACTAAGTGCATGCTGCGAGTAGTGGCAGTACAACCTGCCAGTTCGCTTCTGAATGGCCAACCCTGGCTTTCCGCACGCCATTTCCAGCCGCAGGAGCTGGAACTCATGAACAGTTTCTGGGAAAGTGCCACCAAATCCTCCGTGGGCCCTCAGCTCAGCGAACGGCGCTGAAGAACGGCGCGAAGAGACAACGAAGTGGTCCAGGGATTGAATTGGCTGATTTGAGGTGCATCCAGCCTCGAGGAGGAGTACGACCTGCGAACAGGCCGCGGCTGCCCCCACACTTGTGGGGAGGAAGAATAAAGAAGGGGAGGACGAGATGATCATCAATTGGACTCAATCGGATGGCTGGTGGCTCGGAGAAAGCGATGGTGCTACACCATGAACTTTCCTTGCATGGATGATGGAGGGGAACAAGTCCTGGAAGACGAGGAAGTGCCTTCACACCAAGTAGTAGACACCATGTTTTAGCAACCTATGCCACAGGCGGATGGTTTCTAAACAACGAAACAGGCACTGGTACGATGGGAAGAGTCACCGAAAGTGTCACCGAATTCACCAACCACCAAGCTACCAAGCTACCAGTCCCTTCTGAGGGGTGAAACGGCCCTGAGACCCTGAGACGACAAAGTCCGACAGACGACCCTGTGAATCGGCGACGGTGGGAGTCTTGGAGCATCAACCCCCTACCGGAGGGCGGGTTGACCAAAAGCAATCCGCAAGCCGCGGTGGAAGATCCAAAGTCCAGCAACACCCCAGCTGCACCGTAAGCTCTTGATGTAGAAATCCATACATCTCCAGGCCGATGGCTGGGCAACGGCAAGTGGGGCTGGGTGATGATGGCACCCAAACGTCATGGTGGCCAGGCCTGGCAGAACCAAAAAAGTACAAACATGCTGCGTCACACACACACAGCATAGGGCAGGGCAACTCATCAGCTTTGTCTACCAGCTGGTATGGAGGTGGGGGGTCTGGGGTCGAACATCTCCGGAGCCTGGCTGGGGCGACGCGAGAGAGAGAGAGAGAGGGGGGGGGGGAGGGGAGAGTTTGAGGTTGACAATCAGATATCTCCTTGATTCTCCATGTGATTTTAACTCTTCTCATTTGTAGTCCAATGATGTCCAATTGGACAGGGCCCGCTGGCTGTTCCACCAAACGCCACACCGACACTGCCCAGCCTTCGAGCGAGGCGGTGCTGAAAATGAGCGACGTGCACCACGCGGATGTAACTGCAAAGGAGTGGATCCACGGCAGTAAGCGCCTGGGCGTATGCGAGCCGGCGTATGCAAGCCGGCGCTGGCTCGGCTTTTTGCTGTGTTTTGGGGAAGGCATTCATCACTGAACAGCCAGGGGCTGAAGAAAT